CACTGAGAATTTCTCTCCAGTTCCAGCTTCTTTTAATCAAAATGGCTTTTTTAAAAATAATGTATTTTTGTTTTATGTGCATTGGTGTTTTGCCTGTGTGTATGTCTGTGTGAGGATGTCAGGTCCCCTAGAACTGGAGTTACAGACAGTTGTGAGCTGCCATGTGGGTGCTGGGAATTGAACCTGGGTCCTCTGTAAGAGCAGTTAGTGCTCTTAACTACTGAGCCATCTCTCTAGTCCCCCACAATCAATGTCTTTTTTAAAAGATGGCTTTGGACTTGGGATGTAGCTCAGTTGGAAGAGTGCTTGGCATACGAAAAGCCCTAGGTCTAAACTAACCCCAGTGTCATATGAAACCAGGTGAGGTTGCATACACCGTAATCGCAGCACGTGGGATCAGAAGTTTAAGGTTTCCTCTTCTATATAGTGAATTTGATACTAGCCTGAGCTGCATGAGACCCTGTTTCAAAACTTAAAAACAAAAAAAAAAAACCCTGTTTGTTTCTGGTTGGCTTGTGCTGGAAATAAGCCCAGGCCCTCTCCCTTACTGAACTAGTAGTTCTAGTACTGACTCTGCTAGTACTTGCCACACTTGTACCTACAGACCTAGTACAATTTTTTTTAAAGGGGTCAAGTTGTTTTTTTAGAAAATATCCGACCTCTGAATTTGTTTGTTTTTATATGACCAGTATTCTGTAACCTTCAATTTAGTTTTAAGCTTGATAAGCCAGGACTGGTGGTACATGCAAGTAATCCAGGATTTGGGAGATAGAGGCAGGGAATCACAAGTTCTAGGCTACTCTGGAGTTAATGGTGAGGTCCTGTCTCATAGAAAAGAAAGTATTAGACTTAAGTTAGACTTTTTTTTTAATTTCTTTTCCACTCATTCTACATATCTACCACAGAGCCCCTCCTATCCCTCCTCTCCCCCCCACCCCCAACTTCTTCCCCCTCAACCCACCCTCTCTCTATTCCCTCCTCCAAAAGGGTAAGGGCTCCCATGGGGAGTTAGCAAAGCCTGGTATATTCAGTTGAGGCAGGACCAAGCCCCTCCCTGCTCTGCCTTAGGTTAGACCTCCCCCCACCCCCCAAGACAGGGTGTCTCTGTGTAGCTTTGGTGCCTGTCCTGGATCTCACTCTGTAGACCAGGATGGCCTCGAACTCACAGAGGCCTGGCTCTGCCTCCCTAGTGCTGGGATTAAAGGCATGCGCCACCACCGCCCAGACTTTTATGACATGAGTCCTTCACAAATGGTACTATCTACTTTGTATTTTATATGGTTTCTTGTTGATAACGTTTGACTATGGAGTCATAATGGGAACAGCCAAGACTTTCACTTTGAAGTCAGGTTCTTTACCCCTTTGCAGTTTGCTCAGTAATGTATTTGCTGACATTGGCATACTGAGAATATCTAATTCCATGCCAGTTTTGATTCTGCATTGTTAAAACTTTCTGTATATTTATTTGACAAGCATTCTTCCGTAAATAAGAGTGGCCCCTCTGTTCTTAAAGCTTACTTACTCTGACTGTTCTGAGCTGCTCAAAAGGCAAGGTAAATGCTTCACTTTCCCCTTGTAATTCTCATTTTTGGAGTAGTAAGTGCCGGCATTAAAAAGTTGCCATTGGATGTGTGGTCTTCTCTTTCCAAGTACACCTTTTCTGCTCCTTAAATGTTTCTCAGTGATGCTCCTTTTGCTCACTTGCCCCAGTGTCTTTATAGTCACAGTGGCTCTGTGCTGAACAGTAGAAAACAGAAACTAAATTTACATTTTTGTGGGCATGTAGAGGTACTTGATTTGTCTTGAAAGAGTCAAAGATATGCCTATGACTGCTCCCAAAATTTATTTTCAACAAGCAGCTTTAGAAATATGAAAAAGAAGCCGGGCGGGTGGTGGCGCATGCCTTTAATCCCAGCACTCGGGAGGCAGAGGCAGGCGGATCTCTGTGAGTTCGAGGCCAGCCTGGTCTACAGAGCGAGATCCAGGAAAGGCGCAAAGCTACACAGAGAAACCCTGTCTCGAAAAACCAAAAAAAAAAAAAAGAAATATGAAAAAGAATCCATATCCCCCCCCACCTCAAGACAGGAGCTCACTCTGTAACCCTAGTTGGCCTAGAACTTAGCATGTAAACTAGGCTTCCTTGAACCTGTGCAGGTTGGGATTACAAGTATGAGCCCACCACGCTTGTCAAAAAATAAATCTAAAATGGTAAATTATTTCCCTTTGTTTTCCAGATACGTCGGTAACCTTTCCCGAGATGTGACAGAAGCTCTCATCCTCCAGCTCTTTAGCCAGATTGGACCTTGTAAAAACTGCAAAATGATTATGGATGTAAGGGTATTTCAGTCAGTCATTGTTTCTGCTTTTCTTTCCTTTTCCTCTCTCTCTCTCTCTTTTTTTTTAAACATGAAAGCAGTCATTACTTCAGAACTTCTTCATTAATGTCTAAATTCATAGGGATCTTAGTGAATTTTTAATTAACCTGTTTAGTAGACAGTCAAATTTAATTCTTTTGCTAGGTGAAGTAAGAAAATTGAACTGATCATTTTTAGAAAGGATATGTGCTCATCTTACAAGATCTATTGAGGCATCAGAATTGGTTTTTTTTTGTTGTTGTTTTGTTTTGTTTTTTGTTTTTTTGGTTTTTCGAGACAGGGTTTCTCTGTGTAGTTTTGGTGCCTGTCCTGGCTCTTACAGGCTGGCCTTGAACTCACAGAGATCTGCCTGTCTCTGCCTTCTGAGTGCTAGGATTAGGTGAGGCATCATAATTGTTTTACATGTAATATCAATAGGTTGAATAATCTACAAGTTCAGTTATTAGATTGGGAATTGGGGTAGACTTTTAATATAATGAAAGTATATATAGTATATAATGAAAAGCATTTTTAACTTTATTTAAAAGCTTTTCTTGCATGTCTATCAGAACTTAATTATAGAAAAGACATCAAACATTCATATGGTTGGTGCTAACTATGAATAATACCTAGTTTTTAAAACAAAGTTCATTGTTTATGTGTACAGGTGAACATACATGTGTGTGCACAGGTGTGTGGAGGCCAGATGTCAACATTGGTGCTTCTTCATGCATACACAATAGACAGCGTCTTACAGTATAATCCAAGATGACCTAGAACTTGCTATGTAAGCTAGGATGGCTGCAGTCTTCCTGCCTTAGCTTCTCAAGTGTTAATATTACAATGTGCCACCACAACCTGGCTATTAATTAATTGTTTGTTGTTTTGTTTGTTTTTGAGGCAGCGTCGATGTAACTCAGACTGGCCTGAAACTTGGAATGTTCTGCCTCTGCCTCCTGAGTGATAAAATGACAGATATGTGCTACCACTCCCCTCAGAATCTCAATTATTATAGAATAAGAGTTTTCATTGAGCCGGGCGGTGGTGGCGCACGCCTTTAATCCCAGCACTCTGGAGGCAGAGGCAGGTGGATCTCTGTGAGTTCAAGGCCAGCCTGGTCTCCAAAGCGAGTTCCAGGAAAGGCGCAAAGCTACACAGAGAAACCCTGTCTTGAAAAACCCAAAAAAAAAAAAAAAAAGAGTTTTCATTGAATTATATGTTTATCTCAGTGCTCTGAAATTTTGAATTAGTTTTCTTTATTAATTCCTAGAAAGCCTTAGAAAGAATTGAATTGATTATAAAGTCATTTAGTATCCCACACTGGTAAATTCAGACTATTATATTTATTTTCTGCTTTAATTTATCATAAAATATCTTGAAGCCAGGTGTGATAATGCATGCCTGTAGTCTCAGAACTCAGAAGACAAGAGGCAGGAGGAACATTGCAATTTGGAGGCCACTCTGGTCTACACAGTAAGTTCCAGACCAGCTAGAGCTCCATAGAAAAACTGCTAATAAATAAACAAACAGCATCTAGCTTTGGGCCAGAAGATTGCTCAGTGGTAGAATGCTTTCTTAGCACACACAGGGCCCTGGATTTTGGGCTCCAGCACTAGGGGAAAAGAAAAAATCCAGGCTTTCTCTCTTATATCCCAGTTACCAGTAGAAAAGAAGAGGTGTTTTTGTCTTCTTTTGAGAGTCTTACTAAGTATCTCAGGCTGGCTTTAGACTCACCCAGGATGTCTTCAGAATTCCTAGTACTGGAATTACAGATAGACAGATATTTTTTCTCAGGTTTAAAATTTTTATTTTATATAATGAGTGTTTTGCATGCCTGGTGCCCATGGAGGTCAGAAAATGGTGTCAAGTACCCTGAAATTGGAGTTTATGTGAGCCACCATGTGGGCGCTGGGAAACAAACACAAGTCCTCTTCATGAGCAGCAAGTGTTCTTAACCTCTGAGCCAACTGTTCAGCCCCCAAGGGAAGAAATTTTAAAATGCTTTGCAACAAGCAAAGAACTTGTATCAGAAGTCTACATTCTTTTTTTTTTTTTCTTTTCTTTTTTTTTTTTTTTGGTTTTCTCGAGGCAGGGTTTCGCTGTGTAGCTTTGCGCCTTTCCTGGAACTCACTTGGTAGCCCAGGCTGGCCTCGAACTCACAGAGATCCGCCTGCCTCTGCCTCCCGAGTGCTGGGATTAAAGGAGAAGTCTACATTCTAAAACCCATTGTAAATATTATCAGAGCCTAGTTTAAGAACAGACTAGAGAAGATTAGTTAAGATTTTCTGTTCCTCAAATTAGAAACAGTAAGATGTTTAAAGTTTGTAGCAATAAAAAGTAATATACTGGGTAGGGGTGTAGTTTATGGTAGAGCATTTATGTAGTGGGTGTAAGGCTCTAACACTGCACGAAGAAGCAAAAAGGGAGCTACAGGAAAATGGTACTAAGTGTTTACTCTTTTATCTGAAAATTTACTTGTGGAATGAGTCAGTTATTCTCCATGGCCTGCTAACTGTAGAAAGTCTATATATTTAAGGGGGGATTTTTTTTATTTATTTAATTTTTTTAATGGAAGAGTAAAGCTTAAAATTGACTTCTGTATTTCTTCTCCAACAGACGGCGGGGAATGACCCATACTGTTTTGTGGAGTTTCATGAGCATCGTCATGCAGCTGCAGCGCTGGCTGCTATGAATGGGCGGAAGATAATGGGTAAGGTAAGCTGTCATAATTACAGGTGACTTGCACTGGACACACTTATTTCATTCTCATCCTCCTGCCTCCACCTCCCAAATGGGGCCAAAAGTATATGCAGTGCTTGGATTGGAGCCAGAGCCTCAAACAGCACTCTATAACAGAGCTGCATCCCCAGCTCTTGGAATAGAAAGTTTAAATTAGATTCTACCTCATTTTTGTTTTAGATCCATTATATTCTCTTTATGGCAAAGGGTCAGTTATTTGTATTTGTATTAAAAAGATAGAATGGGGCTGTAGAACAGCTCAGTATTAAGAGCACTGGCTATTCTTCCAGGACCTGAGTTTGAACCCTTATACATACATGGTGGCTCACAATTCTTGTATAATATTAGAGGGACCAGCCTTAATATTATACATCCCAGGGCCTCAGGAAAGAGAACTACTAACGGCGAGGACTATTTTAGGGAAATAGAATCTCAGCACACCGAGCTCTATAGTCCACTTGCTTTAGTTCCTCTGGCATAACATCTTTTATACAGCTTCAGTTCTGTTCTCGTGTCTAGCTCCCTTTCTTGCCTGATTTCTCTCTATACTTATCTAAGTTCTATCTTAATTCTCTCATCTTAATTCTGCCTCATCTAGGTCCTTTTCAGCTTATTCTTACCCAGCTAGTACTTCCCCATCTGGCTCTTCCTCATCTTCCATCTCATTCCTCTAGTACTCTCTTCTAGCCCTACAATCTAGTTCTTCCCCATCTCAGTTTGTTCCTCTCAAGTTCTTACCCGTCTAGTTCTTCCATTCTCTTTTCTCTTCTCTGTCCCTCTGTGCCCTGGAAGTCCTGGTATATAAAGCCAGGCTTCCAGGGTCAAACGGAGGGGTAATAAGAATCACACTGAGGGCCTGGAGAGATGGTTCAGCAGTTCAGAGCACTGGTTACTCTTCCAGAGGTCCCGAGTTCAATTCCCAGCAACCACATGGTGGCTCACAACCATCTGTAATGACATCTGGTGCCCTCATCTGACCTGCAGGGATACATGCAGGCAGAACACTGTATATGTAATAAATAAATCTTAAAAAAAAAAAAAAAAAGAATCACACTGAGAGGCAATAACAGTTAATTATCATTTGCAACCCCAAAGGGAAGTGACCAATGGGGAAATGAATTAACTAAAGGCTAAATTCGGGTAATATCTAAGAAGAGGGAATCTTATGTGCTCAACTATAGTCTTAAACGTGATTAGTAGAAAATGTTAAGAATCTATAAGTTGCTAGGTCAATGGGAAAAAATAAAACTGCCTTCTTTTTTCCTGTGGCTCCTATCTGTCCAAGCTATCTGCCGTTTTTCTGCAGGGTAGGGGAAAGTGTGCTCAGTCGCTAGGCAACCCATGTACAGCTAGATGTCTCTGGTGATAGTTAAAGGGAGATCTGGAACTAGAGGTAAGGTTTGGGAAAGAAGGAAGTAAAGCTTAATTGGCACATCTGCCAGGCCTTCTCAAACAGGCAGCCTGGATGCTTAAGTCTGTTCTTAGAGAGTACAGAAGTATCTCTGATAAGGTACTTTCCTCCATCTGGGGATGGACCTGGCCGGATGCTGCCAATGATGATAATTACAGGGAGGTTTGAACTGGGGTTCTGGCTGAGCATAGCTATCAGTGCAGAGGGTTATCTAAATATTCCTAGAAGTGGTTAGGTAAGGAGTTAAAGGTCTATAAAGTTAGTAAGGCTGTAAGAAAGGAGGGTCCGAGCTGAATTGCGTAAAGCTATTACTTAACATCCATCTGACCTAGGTGGTGTCTCCTTGTGGAATTTACCTTAAATCAGGAGACTTTCATTTCATGTTATTACTGCTAGTCCTTGAAAGTGGCTAAGGGAGATATCTGATTCCAGAGAAAGCCTTTCCTGAGGCTGTTCTCCAAATAACCTGGGATGTGTATGTCCAGAGAGTGATCAGTCTGTACTGTTAGCCCTTCTTAGGGAAAAGTCAATTGGGAAAACTATGAAGGGACACATGACTTTCATAACAGAAGACAACTGATGTATAACAAACCAAGTAACACCAAAAGCTCCTTGGAATTTGGCTTCCTCTGGAGGAAATCCTTGATCCCTCCAGGTAGTGACTTTGCCATAACCAGCTGAGTTCTTATGATATATTCCTGCGGCCCTCAGTACACAATCATCTGTAACTCCAGTCCTAGGGGATCTAATGTTTTCTTCTTGCCTCTAAGGGTACTGCACATGTATGAGGCACAGATGTACATTCAGGCAAAACACCCATATGTGGATAAATAAATAATTAAAATTTAAAAAAAAAAAAGCTGGCCATAGCAGTACATACTTTTAATCCCAGCGCTCATGAGTTCAAGACCAGTCTGGTCCACACAGTGGGTTCCAGGTCAGCCAAGGCTACAATAGTCTTGAATGAATGAATGAATGAATTGATAGGCTAAAACCTCTATAGAAACTAGAGGCCTCTGTTTAGCTCCTTTTCTCAATGGTGCTGTGTACATGATAAGCTCTAGATAGTTATAGAACTACTAAATTTGGATGAAACATAACAGTAATATGGAGTATTAATAGAGAGGCATGTGTGGGTAACTTTGATTTTAAAAAGAAATGTGGCTAGGTGGTGGTGACCCATGCCTTTAATTCTAGCACTCAGGAGGCAAAGGCAAGTAGATCTCTGAGTTCCTGGCCAGGTTGTTCTATAGAACAAGTTCCAGGACTACCAGGACTACACAAAGAAAATCTCTGTCTCAAAAAATAAAAAATAAAAACAAAATATAAAATAGTAAAAGCCAGGCAATGGTGCATGCCTTTAATCTCAGCATTGTAGAGGCAGAGGCAGGTGGCTCTCTCTTGAGTTGGAGGCCAGTCTGGTCTACACAGAGACTTCCAGGACAACCAGAGCTACATAATGAGACCCTGTCTCAAAAAAAAAAAAAAAAAGTTATTTGAACATTAGCAGAAATGGGAAAAGATTAGCTTTGCCAAACATATATATATTAGCTGTACCTGGATGCTAAGGCAAGAGAATTGCTTTCAAAGCTTGCCCAGGCTCTAGTGTGAATTCAAGCTTAGCCTGGCAGACTTAGTGACTCATCTTAGAATCAAATGTAGAGAGGGGTAGGGCCAAAGATGTAGCCCAGTGGTAGATTGTTGCTTGTGTACCATTTGTGAGGCTCTAGGTTCAAACCACAGAAGCATAAAAAAGAAAGAGAGAGAGAGAGAGAGAGAGAGAGAGAGAGAGAGAGAGAGAGAGAGAGAGAGAGAGAGAACACACAGAGGCTTATATATATATAAATTTTTTTTTTTTTTTTTTTTTTTTTTTTTTTTGGTTTTTCAAGACAGGGTTTCTCTGTGTAGCTTTGCGCCTTTCCTGGAACTCACTTGGTAGCCCAGGCTGGCCTCGAACTCACAGAGATCCTCCTGGCTCTGCCTCCCAAGTGCTGGGATTAAAGGCGGGCGCCACCACCGCCCGGCGAGGCTTATATTAATTACAACTTGTGTGGCCTATGGCTCAGGCTTCTTGCTAACTAGCTCTTTTATCTTAAATTAACCCATTTCTATTCATTTGTATGTTGCCACATGGCTGTGGCATTACCGGTCTACTGGCATCTTGTTGCTCCTTGGGCAGCGGGCTGGCTTCTCTCCCTATCCCACTTGGATTTCCTGCCTGGCTTCATTCTGCCCTGCCATAGGCCAATACAGCTTCATTTGTTAACCAGTGGGAGCAACACATATTCACAGCATACAGAAAGACATCCCACAGCACTTCTCCTATTCTGTCTAATCAAAAAGGAAAGTTTTCATTTTAATATAGTAAAATTACATGTAACAAAACAGTTATCAAGAATTATAGTTACAATATCTAGTTTATTTGTATTTAGCAAAATTAAAGAAAATACTCTATCATCTATCTTACTTTTGTGAGTCTAAAGTTTCATATCTAATTTACCATTTTATCATGACTAAGGAAAACTATAATTATAACTATCTAGTCTTCAACTCCATCAAGGACCCCAGAAGGATATAATATTACCTAAGTAAACAGGAAGTGCATTGTAAGCAACTTCCAAAATTCTAGAAATAACAGAGACATCTGGCTGCCTAGATAGTCACCCAAAGTTCCTCTGCAACATTGGAGCATCCATCTTCAGCCTACAGGCCTAGAGTGTCTGGCAGGCTTTTTAGTGAAGCAGGAAATTTGAAAGGTTGTCTTTCTTATTGGCAAAGTTCATGAGTCTCTTTCCTCTGTGTCCTGCAGAATGTCGGCAGTTTCTTCTATGAAGCAGGAACCTTAAGGACCATCTCGCCTTGATTTGGCAAAGTTCAGTGGTCACTTTCTTATGGGTCCTGCATGTCTAGTTTATATAGCTTATTGTCAAGCAGTCTAGGCAAGAGCAGTTTCTTACCCAAGTGGTTAACTTTTGCCATAAAGAAAGCAAACTCCATATGGAGTTTCTTCGATGCCCGTCATCTACTCTGAAGTAATTGGTGCTGCCAGGAGCAGACATGTCTCACTGTCCAGAAAAGTCTAAGTTTTTAAAACATTTTAAATGCCATAATCTATAGGCCTTTGAAGTGTTTGAGAAAATATATGTGTGTATACACACACACACACACACACACACACTTTTTTTTCTTCTTTTTTAGGAAGTCAAAGTGAATTGGGCAACAACCCCCAGCAGTCAAAAGAAAGATACAAGCAGTAAGTACATTTGTTGCCCTGTGGGCATTTGTTGTATTATACCCCATAGTTCTGTTGTAAAGCATATAACATCATACATGTTTGCAGTAATATTTTGATCGTTATCCTGATATGATTTAATGTGTTTGTGTTAATAAATTTAAGAACAAATCTAATCTTTGTCATCAGGTAGTACCGTTGTCAGCACACAGCGTTCACAAGGTAATTGTATCTTCTTAAACATAAAATGAACTCTCTTGAAAGGGTATTCACTAACCACCTCAAGTTTTTATTTGATATTGGTTGGGGGGAGCGGGGAGGGGAAGGATGTAGTATTTTTATTTGTTTCTGGCAATATTTTTCCCTTTCTTCCCATTGTTGACCAAGTGTGGCTTGTCCACGAATTTGTTGCTAGTTCAAGCTCTCTGTCCCCCTTGGTAGCAGCTGATGTCTTAGAAATACTTTCACCACCTAAAGGGCAAGATACCCTACTTCCCTGAGGTCACCTGGGCTTCATACCCAGATCTGCCAAGTGCTCAAGTTGCTCCTGAAACAGTGTTTCCGGAAGAGCAACCCAGTGTGTTGCTTAAGGCCTGCAAATAGGGGTAACTTTTCTTTCCAAATCTACTTTGTCAAAGTTGATATATGTGTCCATTTTAAAGTGTTCTTCAGCAAGTTTGGTTTTTCAAATGTTTCTTTTGAGAATTGTCTTTAAAAACCAAAAAAAAAAACAAAAAACAAAAAAAAAAAAAAAAAAAAAACAAAGCTTCACCTGTGGGATGGTTATTTCTCTCCAGTGCTTTTTTTAATGGTGCTGATATAAAGTGAAGGGATCACTGTTTTCATTCTGTTGCCTTCAGTCTTAGTTCACTTGCACATGGATTCACATAAACTGAATGGTGTAATGTCTGGGCAACCAAAACTGTTGGCTTTTGAGAAAACTGTCAAATGCTTTAACATCAAACTGTTGCAATGCAAGGTATTTCTTTGATTGTTCTTCACAAAATAGTGGCTAAACCAAGTATTTCATGTAGCTAGCCTCAGTAAATTGCCTTAAATAAGGCAAATCTAGTCTTCATAACTTGCATTACCACTACTTAATTGTAATTTATAAAGCCTAGATACAGTAATAAAATGAATAACAGTAAATAATTACTATTAGAATGATAACTAAGTCTTACTTTTTTTACAGAATGAAAGTTTTTATATGTTAATAGTTTGTTTCCTAGACCCTTGTAATGATTGACTATAAATAGACAGAGACTGCCAGCTTCTGGGAGCTATCAGTCTTTTTAGAAGACTCTTTCCTGTGTTGTTAACTTTTGAGTTATTATGTTTAAGACTAATAGGATTTTATAGCGAGGACAGTATTTTATACTTGATTATATAGTCTGTGCATTATTTTAAGAATTCTTAAGAATTTTATTAATTGTAGTACTTAAGTTCTGAAGTTGTATTTTTCTTTTCACTCCCCTCCTTCCTTTGTAAGATCATTTCCATGTGTTTGTTGGTGACCTCAGTCCAGAAATCACAACTGAAGACATCAAAGCAGCTTTTGCACCATTCGGAAGAATTTCGTAAGTAACAAAAGATAAATAAAACACTTTGAATTGGAAGTGACTTTATGTAATAATAACTATAATTTTGTTGTGACTGTGAACCTTAATTTTAACACTTTAAATACAGCATATTCCATTGTTTAGAGATCATCCAAGAGTCTTAACAGCAGGTTGTATTCCCACTAATGAGTAACTGATCTTTGGTCATCTTTAGACCCTTGCCCAGTTAGCAGCACTTCCTCAGACTGCTGTCATAGACATTTTTAAACTTCTGGAGGTGTTGTGCTGTGATTAAAGGAGTTATTCAGGCACTTGTATGATTACATGCATTTTATGTTAATTTAATAAAATAAAACCTCAACAGTTTTGATTGAAAAAGCAGTTATTAAATATTACTTCCTTGGCATTTAATTCTTCCCCGCCTTTAAAACTTAGCAGTAGTACTTTGTACTGTTTTGGGAAACACTGTCTTATGTTTAATTGTAGCCATGCATTTTAGGCCCTTTGTCAGTATTTATTCAGAGTAGTATTCATCATAGAAAAACTTTAGTAGAAGTCTTAATACATGCCATATTACAGTAAGAGTAACAAGCAATTTCAATATTCATTCAGAAGCAGTTGTTGAGTTTAGGGAAAGTGTTACAGGGTTTCTGATTCCTTTGTTACTGTGTCACTAGAACAAAATAAAAAGGGAATTCTAGCTATGGGTGGTTTGAACAAAACAGCAGATAGAGGTGAGGAGATTTGAAAGTAGATGCCCATAGCATTCTAGTGAGTTTTCATTGAGAGTTGCAGTTGATTGGTGAGAGAGTCACTTTGAGGGTAGGACAGGATTCGAGCTTATAAATGGACTCTTCTGTTACATGACATTTTCCCTTGTGAGAACTGGTTAAGAAAATAAGGAAGTTTTCATTTCTTGGTGATTTTATAAGCTGTGTTAGGATTTCAGTAGTGGTTGGTTTGCTTTCAAGTATCTAGAATAGGCATGCCTTACTTTAACTTCATTCTGTCAAGCTCTAAAAGTCCTTCTCTGCAGAATCTTGTACATTTTCAGTTTGGTGTAGAAAATCTTGGTAAGTTTCATCCTGTCCTCAGAGTAGTCACAGGACAACAGAAGGCTTAAGAGTTCCATCCTGATCCATGCTGCTTTCTGTGCAAGTCATTTTAGGAGGAAGTAAGGGTGAGACACTAGAAAGAAAGAAACCTCTTCTAACATGGACAAGTGAAATAGCTATTGTGGTGGATTTTTCATTTTGGCTTAATTACCCTTTCTGATGAGGATTTTAGTTAGAAATTTAGACAAAGATTGTTTAATAATTATTGAAGGGCTGATAAAATGGTTCAACAGGTAAGGTTGCTTGCTGTCAAGCCTGATGACCTGAGTTCAGTCCCAAAACTCCACATGGTGGAAGGAGAAAACTGACTCCTGAAAATTGTCCTCTGACTTCCATACATTCATGCGCATACACACACACACACACACACACATACATACACACACTAAATGTTTAAAAAATTGTAAAGTTAAATGGCCTTCAAATTTAACAGTTTCATGACTTTGTAGTTGTAAAACTAGTCTATCTTTTTGTTAAATATGACTATATCATATTTTTAGTCTGGATTTTTTGTTTGCGTATTTATTTTCACATGTATGTGGGTACGTATGTGTGTATATGCCAGAGATTGACATCAAGTGTCTTCCTCCATCACTCTCCACCAAATACATTGGGGCAGAATTTCTCACTAGAACCTAGAGCTCACTAATTCTACTAGTCCAGGCAGCTTACCCTGAGTATCCCGTCTCTACCACACTGACTTGACATGTATATGCTGGAGATTTGAACTCAGGTCCTTTCATTTGCATGATAGCACGTTATCTGTTGATCTGTTTCCCCAGCCCCGGTATTTGGATTTTCTTATGGGCACACAATTGTTAATTTGTTAATTTTTTTTTTTCTTGGTTAGGCCTTTTTGTTGAGGTAATTTGTGTTTAAATGTTAGCTTATACAGGAAGTTAGCTTTCCTAACTATTTGGCAATTGAAAATACACATTTCTGGTTTTGTTTGTGTTGTTGTTTCTTGTCTTAAGGCGACAGCCTGATAAGAATATTGAAGGGTTTCTACAGTAGATGTCTCTGTAGGCAGTTTATACCATGCTTGATTTATAGACAGTATAGGGTACATGGTGGTCTATTAAATATTTTTATGAAAATAATTCTTTCCTTAATTTAAATAGCTTGAACCCCTCCTGTTACTTGAGTTTAGGGTCATATAGCAAATTTTGATATAGAAGTAAATCAACTACCAAATTAAATGCATGTGTGCCATGTAGATAATAGTTACTGAGAAGTGACTTACATTAGTTTAATCATCAGAATCTGTCATTTTGATTGCCCTTAATAAGTCACTTCTAAGCTCATCTGAAATGTACTTGTGTGTACTTACAATTACATTGCATGGCTTTCTGATTGGGTTCTTGTTGTAAGCATGCCTGTTGTGTCCATGTGTCTTGAGAGAACAAGCACTGTGACACACTTGGCTGAGTTAAATAGATTGCCTGTGAAGCAGCACAGTTTGAGTCCAGGTTTTGAGGTGTGGAGTTTTAGCTATCGTGGCTGGGTTTTTACTCAATCTCAAATAATAGGGCTCTGGTTATTTTGCAGAGTGTCTCTGAAGAATGGACAGAATTGCCCTGGCTAACTACAAGCTACGGTTCACAGTGGATAAATGTTGGCGTGCTTTTTTACTTTCTGACTTTTTAAAACTTTGTTTCATATCTTGTAGTTTCCAATCAATCTTACTATGAATGCTGTTATGAAATTCAGTACAAAATCTTTTCTTAGATAGTTTAAAAGTAAAATGTTTTTGTAGTATTCTTCAATGATTTAGCATTTCTGAAAATGTCAAGTTCTCAAAATTTGCCCTAGCCCAAAATGGGGGTATATATTCATCTGAGAAAATGAAGTAATTAGCTTAAGGGATATACAGTTTTTTTATTCTATAGTTTTCAGTTTTGTATTTTAATTTTTGAATGATTAGGTAGAATATGGTGCCAAATAGCAAATTATAAATTGCATGGTTAAAGAAAGACAATATATTGTACCTGAGAACCTTGTAATTACTAAATAATTAATGGGAACATCTGCTTTCACCATGCTTAATATTTAGATGTTCATAAAACATTTTGAAGTGGGAAACTTTCTTTATAATATAGATTTATATTTAAGACATTATTGATTTGCATGTCTATAAAATTAACCCTCATTGGCCAATAAATTAAGTTTTATAGAATAAAAGGTGAATTTATATTAACAGCTTACTATTAGTGAAGGGGAAATGTAAACGTGAACTGTATATGGCTCTCCTTTTATGCCCAGAGGACAGTTTCCAAAACCCAGTTTCTGGTGGCTTCTATTTCAGAGATGCTCGCGTGGTAAAAGACATGGCTACGGGGAAGTCTAAGGGATATGGCTTTGTCTCCTTTTTCAACAAATGGGTGAGCACAATCAGAAGTACATGCACAGTGCTGTAGAGAAGGTTGTTTTTATCTTTTTCTTTACTGTATATTTAGTTTACTGATAATTAGCACCCTCACTAGAAAGCAGTCTCCTTTATTCTGTTGGGTTATTTAGTCATTTAGCACCTGACACATGGAAAAATACTGATACTGTGCTTCAAACAATGCAAAGTAAAAATGCTTACAACCAAAAAAAGAAGCCCAAAATGTTTTGTCAAGGTATTTTTGATGATTTGTAATTGCTCTGTTATCCCAAAGATTGAGAGGTATATCCTGCTGTACCTGTGTATCTTTAACCCTGTTTAGCATTCCCCAAACCCATTATCCAAGAAATGGAATTTAAAGACAGTGTTGTAATTTTGGAAAGTTATTGGTTATTGTGTTTCATAAGGCATTTTCATTTTTTAAAATCTGCAAAAAGTATCACATTTTCTTTATTGCTGTAAGTTATTTGTAATATCAACTAATTGCAGCTTCTTTACTGTCTCTAATGTGCGGAACAGGATGCAGAAAATGCCATTCAGCAGATGGGTGGCCAGTGGCTTGGTGGAAGACAAATCAGAACTAACTGGGCAACCCGAAAGCCTCCAGCTCCAAAGAGTACATATGAGTGTAGGTGCATTGGAGAAGAGAAGCAATGTGGAATTGTGGAGAGAAAATACACTAGATTTTAAATGTTAGAGCTGTGCCCGGAGACTTATTGCAGAAATAGATGAGAAGCAGATCAAGACTACTGCTCAAAATGTACTTAGTTTTCATTTTTGTGATTTTAAATAATTATCTTATTTCTAATGTCAAGTCTCCTGTTAAATAGAGCATATGGGATAATGTTTATGCATTCTTGGGGGAGGCTTAATCATAAACTAAAATGTAATATGTGTTTTATAGGCATTTTGATTGAGGAAAACTGCTATTATAGTAGGGTAGTTAATGAGTTAATCCTTCCAAATATGGGTAATGATTTGAAGATACAAAATGTTCTCTCTTCCCAGCAAACACCAAACAGCTGTCATACGATGAGGTTGTAAGTCAGTCTAGCCCCAGCAACTGCACTGTGTATTGTGGAGGGGTGACGTCGGGACTGACAGGTATGGGGGTTTGCCTGTGTGGAACCTTGAAACTAGCTTAAACTGAAAAGCTTCATATTTATAGGTTTTTAATAATGTGAATTCTTTTTTTTTTGTTGTTGTTGTTTGCTTTTGTTTCTAACAGAACAACTAATGCGTCAGACTTTTTCTCCATTTGGACAAATAATGGAAATTCGAGTCTTCCCAGATAAAGGATATTCATTTGTTCGGTAAGGATAGTTTCTTTCAAAGCTTTTTTTCTTTAGAAATAATTTGAACATTTAATATAGTGTTTTTCTTAAGAATTTGTGATCACTTACGTTACACTTACAGCTCAAGTACATTCACCTGGATAACACTGAAACCTGAGAGAGAAATATCTTTAACATATAGCTGTGTGCTTAATTTTTATTCATTTTTCTTATTGACAAGGTCTCACTGTACTGCTCTGGCTGGCCTCGAACTCACAGAGCTCTACCTGCCTCTGCCTTCCAAGTGCTGGGATTAAAATATACTTAAAAGATACAGTTTTGTAACTCCGTCTTTCCAACACAAGGCCAACAAAACATACCCTCCATTAAAACAAATTTCCTATGCCAGGCATGGTGGTGCATATCTATAATCATAGCACTTGAGAGGTAGAGGTTCTCTGCAGCTGTAAGATCTTTGAAAAAACATAGCAAAGAAAATATGCCACTTTTTTAGTGGGTAGGTGGGGATCATTTCAGAATCTTCTATTTTTTCCATGCTTGCTGTCAAATTTATTTTTCAGGATTTTTAAAAATAGTTTGTGTTCATAAATACTTATAAGAATTTAAATTGGTGATTCTTAATATCGTTTCCAATAGGTTCAATTCCCATGAAAGTGCAGCACATGCGATTGTTTCTGTTAATGGTACCACCATTGAAGGGCATGTGGTGAAATGCTATTGGGGCAAAGAGACTCTTGATATGATAAATCCTGTGCAACAGGTGAGAGGGTCCTTGACTTTGGGATGGACTTGCTGGGCTAGTAATGAGGTTGCTTTAAAATGAAGCTTGTTGATAATCCTTTTTAATGAGTTTCTAGCTCACTTCATAGTATATAAGGGCTCTTCCTACATGTATTATAGTTCCGGAGTGGTGTGTCATGGATTGCAGTGGTGACATGATGAGTGTAACCGCCTCAGTTGACTCATGCTCACACAGTGGATTTTAAAATGCTCCGCCAAACCTAACAGGGTATTAAATCTTTTCTTAATACTTGGTAGATTTATTCACAATGATTTGGAGAACTCACAAGCATGCTTGACCCAACTGAACAAGAAGTAAAGCTATAAATATACGTAGGCTTTAGTATTGCTGCTGCTTCTTTTTCTAGGCAACTTTAGTAGTCCAAACTCAACACCACAGAGATTTCTATGAGGGAGTTGTAAATGGAGCATAGATGTATCAGTGAGAAATACCCTAAACCACATATATAGACTTCTTATGTGCCCGATCTAGAGGAAACAATCAGGCACAGTTATGAACAGCAAGTTCTAGCTTTTATTATTAGTCCATTGCCTGAGCCTTACAAAGACAGCCATTTAGAGCACCACATAGTTTCAGTAGTATAATGGCACTTTTTTCAGTAGTCTTTCTGAGTGTGTGTGAGAGAGATACTGAGGATTGGATCCAGGCCTCACATAGATTAAGCATTCATTCTGCCACTGAGCTACATTCTCCCAGGCCTATCCTATTATTTCAGTTGTAGTAATGACCCTGTGCTTTGGCTGTGTAGTGTATTAAGGCTGTATATACAAACAAATTCAAGTAATACTAAATTGTCTGTTGTAATTTTACTTGATAGCAGCAAAATCAAATTGGATATCCACCAGCATATGGCCAGTGGGGCCAGTGGTATGGAAATGCACAACAGATTGGCCAGTATGTGCCTAATGGTTGGCAAGTACCTGCCTATGGAATGTATGGCCAGCCGTGGAGCCAGCAGGGATTCAAGTAAGCACATTTGCTCTTTGCCTTTCCTAACCTTGGAAAACATCAGAAAGAAACTTAAGTATTGAGTAAAACGTGTGGCCCAGTGTTAAACATAATGATAGCCTTGAAGGACTTTACCCAAGGGTCACATCTCACCTCCACATGCTCTATAGCCAATGCGTGCTTTCTCTCTCTCTCTCTCTCTCTCTCTCTTTCTCTCTCTCTCTCTCTCTCTCTCTCTCCCCACTCATGCAAACAAAATAAGGTAAAATTTTGCCTAGAAATATTTTACCTTGAAATGTAATCACAACAATACAAATTTTGGTAATGTTTAATAATAAATCAACTTTTTATTATTACATTTTGTTTATTTGCGTGGCACACATACCATTTCGTACTCATGGTGGCCAGGGAAAAACTTCTGGAAGTTCTTTCCTTCTTCCATATGAGTTGTAGTGATCAAGCTCAGGTTCCAGCTCAGTGCCAAGCACCTTGACCCGGTGAATAATCTTACCAGTCCCTATTTTTTGTTTTCTGAGGTAAGATCTTTTTTTGTTTGTTTTTCTAAGGCAAGATCTTATGAAGCCCCTGCTGGCCTTGACCTTGATATAAAACTGAGGGTGACCTTGAACTCTTACTCCTCCTGCTTCTAACTTGCATTTTTTAATGGGAATTCAACAACACACCCAAATTAAATCAACTTTCTAGTGAAAAGTACTTGATATTTTCTAAGCTGTTCATATGACTGTAGCTCCTTACCTATTTTTTTAATTAATTAATTTTTTTTTATATTTTATGTGCATTGGTGTGAAGCTGTCAAATCCCCTGGAACTGGAGTTACAGATACTTGTGAGCTGCCATGTGGGTGCTGGGAATTGAAACTGGGTCCTCTGGAAGAGCAGTCAGTGCTGTTAACCACTGAGCCATCTGTCTAGCCACTTGAGTACATGTTTTTAGAGATATGTTTTATGTCTGTGAGTCTCTTGCTTGCATATATTTTTGTGTATCACCCTTCAGCTTGCAGTGGTCGCAAGAGGGCATCGAATCACTTAAAACTGGAGTATGGATGGTTGTGAGCCACCATGTGGATATTGGGAATTGAACCTAGGTCCTCTGCAAGAACAACAAGTGCTCTTAACTTCTGAGCCAACTCTTGCAGCCCCTGGATATATATTGTTTACCCATGGAAAAAGACACCCTTTATGTGGATTCCAGCTGTCAAAAGACTCCTCCTTCTCTCTCTGTGTCTGATCCTCTGCCCCTCTGCCAAAGAATTTGGCCTCTGAGATGAAAGGCTGCTCTAGGAGCTTTCCTATTGGAATTTTCCCAGGGGCCTGCTCTGAGAAGATTCCTCCCAGAGTCCTGGGGAAGATGCTATGTCTGACGTGGTTATCTAAGGGAGAAGAATCTATGTACATTAGTTTCTTACGTCCGTTTACTTTATTTCTCTATAATAAACTTCTATCTACACAGCTACAGTTCTGTCCTGACACTTAGCTCCTCTCTGTCCCTTCTTTTTCTGTCCTCTCATAATTTTAGTAAGGCCCTATGCTTTCAATCTCATCTTCGTCTTCAGTTTCCCTGTCTATGCTCATTTCTTCTCGTCCTACTCTCTTGACCTGAGTGAATCCATATTCTCTACAAAAAAAACTGCCTTGTTCCTTTCTCTCTGGCCATGCGACTGTGCCCTACCATCTACAGAAACTCTGCCTTATTCTCCTCTCCTCAGGCCACCAACTCTCTGACCAGGAATTCTGCCTCCCCTTCACTTACACCTGGATATTGCAAAAATCCTTTCTCTGAGTCAAATGCTCTGGAATGCCATTTGGCCAATCTGGGGAAGGAAAGTCTGAGCTTCATTTGCATAAGAAACAAAGCTATGCATCTAGAGTCCTGTCTCCTAGGCTCTGTAGGGGTGTTACCTAGTAGATCAGCAGTAGGTCTGAGAAGTTTATGCTATTGTTGTATGGCCTAGTAGTATATGAGTGCACAAGAATTTCATAGCAAGAAACAGCTGAATATTAAAAGCTAAATAACACCAAATATTCCTTGATAAATGGCTTCCCTCTAAAAAAATTCCTTGATCTTTCTAGGTATAGCTTTATTATATACAGCTGAATCTCTATACTATATTCTTGTAGCTAGCAGCACTTTCCTTTCCCCAAACTTCGTGGCCCCTCACTTGCACCACATAGGCTCTTGCCGTTGTTACTTGTGTCTGCCCGTTAACCAGGTTCCACAGTTTCTCAAGGACATTTGGGCAGCAGGTTTGGTTCCTCATTCCCAAAGTGTAACCAGTGTCTCACAGGTACATTTGTCAAGGTTGATCCTGTGATGATGTAAACTCTGGCAATATCCCAGCCTCTGGTGTTTCTGTTGATTGCCAGTGCAGCCTGGCTATGCTCACATGGCCCTGGACTTTCTGCAGGCCCTGGTCTTCCCTATGAGCAGATGAAATGAAAGAGCAGTACAAATACTTTGATATGCATTGTTCTTTTTTTTTTTCCTGCATGAAAGGTTTGTTCATACACTGTTATTTCACAGGCCTTATATACCCCAAATGATGCCATTTTATTTTCATTTCTGAAAAGCAAACTAGGATTATAAGCACATAATATCAAGGCAAGTGAGGTGGCACACACCTTTAATCCCAGCACTCAGGAGGCAGAGGGGTGGTAGATCTCTATAATTTGGAGGCTAGCCCAGTCTACATAGCAAGTGCCATGCTAGCTCAGGCAACAGTCCTTTTTTCAAAAAAAAAAAAAAAAAGAAAAAAGATAAAGAAAAAAGATATACTGTGTATGTGTCTGAAATTGTCAGATTAGAAATGTTCTGTAATAGAGTTGGGTAGATGGCTGAACAGTTAAGATCACTTATTGTTTCTACAGAAGACCAGGTTCTCAGCACCCACAGGTCGGCTCACAGCCATCTGTAATTCTAGTCCAGGAGATCCAACACCCTTTTCTGGCCTCAGTAGGTGCTAGGTATGCTGCACACATACATACATGCAGGTAAAAACTCAAAATATATAGAAATAAGTCTTAAAAAACAAAAATAGTAAAAAAAAAAAAAATTCTTTTAAAAACTACCTAATAGTTTTTCTTACGTATTAAAGGTGTTAGTTCTCCCTATACCTAATGTTGCAGTTTTTTTGTGTGTGTCTTTTTGCTTTGAGACAGTGTCTCTCGATGTAGCTCTGATTGGCCTGGAACTCACTGTGCTGCAAACAAAGAGAGTGGCTTGTCCAGTGTGTATCCAGCCCAAGTAGAGGGATGCTTTTTCTGAGTTCAAAGGGGATGAATGTTTATAGATTAAAAGTATTTTTTTGTTTTTTCAAGCAAGGTTTCACTGTGTAGCCCTGACTATCCTGGAAGTCCCTCTGCAGACCAGGCTGTCTCAAACTCATAGAGATATGCTTGCCTCTTCCTCCCAAGTGCTGGGATTAAACACCCAGTTTAAACTATTTTCTTAGCTGTAATTTCTAAAAAAAAAAAATAAATAAAATTAATTACCCAAATATATACATGGGGATTTTTGTTTTTGTTTTTTGCTTTTGAGACAGGTTTTGCTGTGCAGCCCTGGCTGTCCTAGAACTAGCTCTGTGGACTAGGCTGGCAAGGCTTGCACCACCACGCCTGGCTGGGGACGCTTATTTTAAGAGAAAATTGTTTTGTGTTTGTTTTCCCTGGCTTAACAGTTTTTCCTCATATTTGGGTTAAGAAAAGGTATGTGTCCTTGTGTATGTGTTACTCACTCTTGGCCTGACATTGTTCTGACAATGGATTTCCCTCTCCTCTGCTTCTCTCACTTTGTCTAACAGTCAGACCCAGTCTTCTGCACCATGGATGGGACCCAATTACAGTGTGCCGCCACCTCAAGGCCAGAATGGCAACATGCTTCCTAATCAGCCTGCTGGGTATCGAGTGGCAGGGTATGAAACCCAGTGAGAACAGACTACAAAATGGAAGCCAGTGGCTTGACGCTACAGGGAGGGTAGGAAAGCTGTTGTTTACTTAAAGATTTATCAAATCAGTCAGTGCAAATGCCAGATAATGATGTATTTATTTAAAAGATTCATTTTTTAATCATGAAATTACTTTTCATCCACATTGTTTTAAAAAGGAACAAGATGGTGGATGTCTGCCAATTTTTGCCTTCATTATCTTTTTTGATAAAGTTTCTCAGATCCTTGTTTCAAAGACAAATGCAGGGATTGCTGCCACTTTTTAAAAATTAAGAGGCAGAAAATTGCACAATATTGAACTTTCCACTAAAGTAGCGTGCATTTTTAGTTTGCATTCCTGATATGATTTAAAACATGTAATATAGATGTAAAAAGAGAAGCCAAACTTGTGCAAAGTCTAGAAGTTCTTTATAACTTTCAGCGTATGCACAGTTCTGTGTTAGTTTTAAAGAGTAGGCATTACGTGACCTATACCATCTCCACTGTTAGCCCTTTGGAATTTTTAAATGTAAATTATTAGTTTATATCATTTTGTATCTACATTTTTTTCACAAATTTGTCCTGCCTTATAAAAATTCTGTAACATATTCTTAAATGAAAAAAAATGATGTTCACTTAGATTGAAAACTTTTCTCAGATGGACTGATAACTGCATTCATCTTGTTTTTATATGAGAAGGTGCCTCAAGGATTCACTGTTGGATTTGTTTAAAGGGATTTTTATCTTCTGTGATAAACTTTGCCATCTACCAGGAACTATAAAAACAACAGCTTGTGACTAAGGAGACTGCAGTGTGCTAAGTCCTCACCCACATCAGCTTCATGTGTCAGCATCTACGTTTACATGTGGTGTTTTCTGAGATAGTTCCTTCCGCAAGTCATAGTTTGCAGTTAGCAAACTTTGTATGTCATTCCCTTCCTAAAGGTGTCATGAAGAGTTGACATAAGACGGGTTTTACGTTTGCATGTGAATATCACATACGTACTTTGGTAGTCTTTGATACAAACTCATCTGTTCTTGTTTTTCAAGAATTTTGAGACACAAAGTTGTATGTAAAGGAATATATTAATTTGATGTTTTCTAGTTAGATTTACTTAAAAAAGTAAATCCATTTTAATATGTACAAATGTTAGCTGTGAAACTGTAGAATATTCCTCTGTCAGGCTTGGGGTTCATTAAGAACTCCAAAACTAGCCTGAAGGACCAGCCGGGCAAAACATTTTTTAAATATTCAGAGGCCAAAATATGAACAAACAAAAAAATAAGAAACCCTTAAAATCCTACCTCCTTAAATAGCCATCAAGGAAGAGGCTCCACAGCACAGGCATGACTTTGGTTCTTTGGTACCTGATCTCTTGGAGCTTCCACATTATTTTTGAGGTTTGCTCTTTGATGGCATTGTTCTAGCCTTGGGATTTCTAATACATTTCAGAGTCTCTTGGTTTGGTTTGGTTTCAGTGATGACCACAACCTCCTCCTTGACATCAGAGAGGAAGGAGCCCCTGTGAATTGTGGGTTTTGAGACCTGCAGAGAGCTCCCAGCATTTTACTTAGGCCTGTGGAATCGGAAGCATTTCCTGGCCTGTATCTTCCAGGTAGGAGCACATGACTCTAACTTGTTTTCTAAGCCAGTCCTCTTGTAAAGCAGAGCCCAGAAAGACAGCTCAAAATGCATGCTTCTCTGGAGCTCAGTTCTATGCAGTCGTGCTGATGTTTCATTAAGTCACTGTGTATTTTTAAGTACTAATACATTGAAATTTGCTTTATGGAAGATGAATAAATTTTTTAAATACTTGGAAATTTTATTTCTTTGTAAAGTTCTACAGATCAGGACAGGCAATAAAAGCAGCTTAAATGAAATACTTAAAAAAATTTTAAGAAAAATAAATCACACACATCAGGAAACTATTTTGGCTAATTTTTTTAGCTTTTTTTTCCTTCTGACTTTTGTTTCTGTTTTAGCACCCTCAGTATTTTTCTCTATTAAAGAATTTTACTTCCTTTGCAACTCATAGACTGCAGGATCATTTGGGCACAAGTAATTTATTTTGTACAGAAGTGTAGCTTCTCTCTTCTTTCGACTCAGTACTGAGGACTTTTATTAGCAGCATGTTCTTATTGCACAGATTTTAAATTCATGTTGATTTGCTGTTGAGAAGGTGGTGACGTGTTCCTGATGAAAGACTGACATTTTAGGAACATGGCTGGCTTTGGTTTAATTTCAATGTTCAATCATTTAAATCAATTTTCAACCTAAAAATCTTCATCCTGGTATAAGTATCAGGTAAGGAAATCAAGGTTTTTAAAGTGAACTTCTTTGCAATATGCATTCGATTTTACTCTCTGGTACTGTAAAGAACCTGAGTGACTCTCAGTGGGTCATGGAGCCAGTATTCTTTATCCTGACTGTTTGGATATTAAAATTCCTTTATGTTTTCTATGACCTGTGGGATCTTCTTGCAGTGATTATTGTGTGTGAGATTTTTTTTCCTGGTGTACTCTGTTAATACCACTCAATCAGGCATTCATAAGAGTTCTTTCACCGTATCCCGGAAGCCATGGTCCGCATGGGTTCCACAGAGGCTCTGCATTCTGTGGGCTTAGCCAACTGAAGCCAGAGTCTGGGCTTCCCATTGAAAAAGAGACTTACAGTCCAGGTTTCCCTTCTCTTGTTTTACCACTGTGTTCACCTTCCTTTTAGATCCGTGCTCAAGTTCCCTTCCAATTTCAGAGGACTAGACTGCATTCATAGTTAGACTCGATAAGTGCTGTAGGTGCTGTTGAGTTGGTAGTTAGTTAGTAAGACAAAATATGTGCATAGAAAATTTTAAAAAACAAATCTTTCAAATGGGTGATGGTTTCTAAAAACTATTATTTAGCGGTCTGGTAACCTGGCTCAGCAGATAAAGATGACTGCCACCAAACCTGATGACTTGAGTTTGATCCTTGGCACACACTTAGTGGAAGTAGAGAACTAACTCTGGCCACAAATATAGATAAATGTTTAAAACTGTTGAGGTTTAGCCGGGCAGTGATCCCAGCACTCAGTAGGCAGAGGCAGGTGGATCTCTGTGAGTTCGAGGCCAGCCTGGTCTACAGAGTGAGATCCAGGAAAGGCGCAAAGCTACACAGAGAAACCCTGTCTCGAAAAACCAAAACAAAAAAAAATGTTAGGTTTTTTTTTTTTTTTTTAAATGCATCATATATGTGTGTATCTCTGCTTGTGGGTGCAGGTGCCAGTGGGTGCCAGAAGAGAGGATGTTGAATTCCTAGAACTGGCATCACAGGTAGTTGTGAACTGCCTGACAGTGGTGCTAGGAACCGAACTATGAAAGAACAGTACATGCTCTTAACCACTGAGCCTTCTTTCTAGTCCTTCTTTTCTGTTTTTTGCTTGTTCGTTTTGTTTTGAGATAGAGTCTCACTATATAGCCCTGGCTTGCTTGAAACTCAGAGATCTGCCTACCTCTGCTTCTGAGTGCTGGGATTAAAGGCCTGTTTTAGTTACTGTTTTATTGCTGTGAGGAAACACCATGACCAAGGCAACTTATGACAGAAAATATTTAATTGGGGGCTTGTTTACAGAGGGTTAAGTTTGTTATCATCATAGTGGAGAGTGTGGCGGCAGGCAGGCATGGTGCTGGAGCAATAGCTGAAAGGGGAAGGGAGACAGAAAGAGGCAGAGCCTGGCATGGACTTTTGACCCTAAAAGCCCACCCCCAGAGTCATACCTCCAACAAGGCCACACCAAGTTCTTCCTAAATAGTCCACCAATGGAAGCAAACAGTCAAATATATAAGCCTACGGGAGCCATTCTCATTGAAACTGTCAGAGAGCTATTCCATTTTGTTCCAGTCACTATAGTCTGACTGGTATTTTTAAGGTTGGACAAGCATCCTCCAAAACCTTAAGTTTTCAGTCTTAATGAAATGAAGATGTTGCAGCTGAGCAGGATTTTCTCCCTTTGAGACCTTAGTCATGTGACTATATGATAAAGGAGGTCAGCTTTTTAGCAAGGCATGGTGATAGATGCCTGTAATCCTAGCACTTAGGAACTTGAGGCAGGAGAATGGCCATGAGTTCTAAATCTGGCCTCCATAGGCATCTGCACATATGTATGTGTAGCCACACTAACATACACATAATTAAACTGTTATTTCTTTTTTTTTTTGTTATGCTTTATTTTTGTTATTTGTAAATTATGTGTGTATACGGGAGAGTAGATATCTTTTAAAAAAAGAAATGTGTTTGAGAGGCTGGAGAGATGCATCAGCAGTTAGAACACTGGCTGCTCTTCCAGGGACCTTGGTTCAGTTCCTAATGGTGGCTTTGAACCATATGTAACTCCAGTTTCAGAGAGTACAGTGTCCTCTTTTTATCTTTATTTATTTTTTTTATTTTTTTGGTTTTTCGAGACAGGGTTTCTCTCTGTAGTCTGTGTAGCCCTGGCTGTCCTGGAACTCAAGAGATCGGCCTGGATTAAAGGTGTGTGCTTCCACCGCCCAGTCAAGATGCCTTTGAAAGTCACCCAGAGTTCTGAATTCATCAGTGAGGTGTTTTTTCGGCTGGTTAATTACAGTACAATACACGAATTAAAAGAAGGGACTTGGTCTGTGTGAGAACCAGTTACATTTTAAGTTCTAATCATTATGCCTAAGAGATCCTTGAAACAAAAATGCCTTTGATCTGCAAGCCCCTTGCCCAAGGACAGATAGTTTCTGAAATGCTGGAGGCTACAGTTTATGGGAGGTGACAAGCCACATGTTTTTCACTCCCCTAAATAAGTTTCTTTGACCCATCTGCACCAATGTGCTTGATCACATGTGTAGGTGGTTCACAGGCAGGAAACACATCAGGATGTACGCTTGGCCCTGATTGGATGTAGGCTGGAGGTATGTCAGCATGTATGCTTGCCCTAGTTGGACTTGATAGGAAATGCAATTAATTTTGGAGTTTGCTTCTTAAACCCTTGCCATACGTGATTCTGGGCCATTTCCCAGGAACCTGGGTATGGACCTGGCCAGAGCCCATCTACCTGGCTGGTATTTAATGAAAGCTTGCTTCAAATTTGGCTTTAAACTGTGGTAGTAGTCTTATTCTCGATCGGAGGGATTAAAGGCTGAAGAGGAGGCTCAGTGGTAAAGACCACTTGATGCTCTTGAGAGGACCAAGTTTGGTTCTCAGTACCCACATTGAGCAGCTCACAACTGCCTCTGACTCTAGCTAGAGGATCTGGTGCCCTTTCTGTCCACATGCACTTTATTCAGGTGCACAAACCGGTGGTTCTTGGGGGTCAAAACCCCCTTGGGGATCGCATATCAGATATCCTGCATATCGGGTATTTACATTACGATTCATAACAGTAGCAAAATTACAGTTGTATTGTAGTATGGTTAGGGGGTCACCACATGAGGAACTGTATTAAAGAGTTGAAGCATTAGGAAGGTTGAGAACCACTGTTATACATATGTACACATAATTTTAAAAATTATAAAAAAAATGAACTTAGAGCAAGTTGTTTGTACCTTTCTGAAATCCACAGCATAAATAGTCTTTGAATAAAAGCTTTCAAATGCAGATGGGTGAATTGTGTGAAGCAGATTTCAGTTACAGGATAAACCCAAATCTGTATTTAGGTAGTTTTCTAGACATGGATGTCCCTAACTAGAGTCTTCTAGAATCTGTTTTGGATTTGGTAGAGATTGGTTTTTTGTTTGTTTGTTTGTTTGTTTGTTTTTGAGCCAGGGCCTCATGTAGCCCAGGCTAGTCTCAAACTTGCTATGTAGGCAGTATTTTCTGACCCTCCTGCCTCCATACCCCATTTTCTGGGATCATGGGTATGTGCCACTCTGCCCTGTCTTATGCAGCCCTGAGGAGCAAAGGCACGCTGTGAAAGCTAAACAAGGACTGTACCAACTGAGCAGCCCTTGTGGCATGTGCTTGTTGGCTTTTCTCCAGAGACCCTCTAGATAGGTTTTGCTCTGCTGCCACACTTCCATTGGTGTGTCTTTATACAGATGCTCTTCATTACCTTCTGTTTACTTCTGTTTGCTGGACCAAGTACTAGCAGGAGTATGAAAGGGAGGTGCTGCCATAGCTCCAGGGATTGAACCTGACTGGGGTAGCAAGGGAATGAAGTAAAAACAAACACATAGATGCACAGAAAAGCTGCTTGTCTGGTGAACTGGACTAATGAAGAAACTTCAGCACTCCAGAAGCCCAGGGTGTTTATTACATACAGTTGAACAGAAAGGCAGGGGTTATGGTGTACAGGGGGATCAGGAGGAACAGACTTGGTAGGAACAGACTCTTCAGAGGGAATAGCTGTGGTGTCCATTTTCAGTGCACACTGTCAACATTTGCACTCAGTCTCCTGAGGAAGGCTTTGCCATCTCTCTGAGCCTCACCTGGATTGAAGAGACAGCTTTGCCATTTTCCCATGGGTCTATGGCTAGGGCCTGTGACATAGCCATGTCAACAGCTCACACACACTCAGGGCTTCCTCCACTACCTCCCTAGAGCGACCTTCTCCAGGTTTCACAGCTGCTTCCTTTTTGGGTACCGTAATGAATTATTAAAGAAGGTGGGAGATAGAGAGGTGGCTCAGAAGTTAAGAGCATTTGCTGTTCTTGGAGAGGACATGGATTTAGTTCCCAGCACCCACATGGCAGTATACAGCAATCTATTCACACCTGTTCCAGTGGATTCGGTAGCCTCTGTGGGCCCTGCAAGCATGTGCACTAGTACATGCAGGCAAATTACTCACATAAAACTTAAAAATTAATGCCGGTATGGTGGCTCACACCTTTAATCCCAGCACTCAGGAGGCAGTGACATACAGATCTCTGCGAGTTTGAGGCCAGTCTGGTCTACAAATTGAGTTCCAGGACAGCCAGAGCTGTTACACAGAGAAACCTTGTCTTGAAAAACATAAATAATCCTAAAACAAAAGCAGCAGCCACAGGGGCTGGAGTCTAAAGCTCAAGGGTAGTAGACCTTGTTTAACCTGCTTGGTGCCCGAGTTTTCAGTCCCTAGCAGTGGGGTAGGTTAGCCCTGGGTTCTCAGAGGGTCTGACCTGCTCAGAAAGAGTTCTGTGCTGGTCCTGAGCAGCTCCCTTGGCTCCCTCATCTGCTGCACAAAGGAATCTGGCTCCTGTTTGGCAATTTGCTTCTCAATGTGTCTGAACCCCTGGGACTGACTTCACACCACCTCTCTGCTCTTCAGCCCTCACATTGTTTCAAATGGTGCATAACAGGTCATTGCAACTACAGCATGCCTCTCAGTACCTGATAGAGTTTAGCTTTTACTCAACACCATAGAATCCCATCTCCATTCTCACATAAACCCTTCAGTGCCACAATGACCTGTGTTTGAATGAACAGTTTATTAGGAGACAAAGATCAAAAAGAGATGCTGGGGCTAGAGAGATGGCTCAACTGTTAAGAGCACTTGCTTCCAGGCACCCAAGTGGTGGGTCACAACCATCTGTAATTACAACTCCAGAGGATCTGATGCCCTCTCTGTCCTCCACCAGCACCAGGTATGTACAGGCAAGCAAAACACCCATGTACATTTTTAAAAGTTGTTTTAATTTTAAGGGAAATGGTGAAAGATTCGTTAACAATGGTTGGAACAAAGTAAACATTGGCTAATGACTAGTGGGCAGACAATAGTCAAATAGTAAGTGTACAGAAAACAACTACTACTTGTGCACAGCAGGGAGAGAAGGAAAGAGAGTAAGGAATACACACACTTGCAGCCACAGATGAGCTCCTAACCCTTCCAAGGAGCCCATTTACCACAGGAACAGGAATTTGCAGGCCTAATGGAAGTGGAGAAACATTCCACCAGGTAGGGAGAGAGCTGGGGTTGCCAGATAACACAGGGGACACACAATGCAGCGAAATGGCTTAACTGGCTGTCCTGTATGTCATTTGGAAAGAGTTGCAAGCTGGCACAGCCAGGGATTCCAAGAACTCTTTAGCAGGGAGAGCATGGTATGAGGATGCAGCTGACTGGTTTTGAGGACAGGGAGGTGAGCATCAAGGGATCTTTCGTGAACCACTACATTGAATGAGAAAGAAGAGAAACAGCACCCAGAAAGGAAATGCCTGCGCATGTCTCTGCTTAACAGCCTGCCACTGAAGTGTAGGGCAAAGGAGAAACGCGTCCCAGAGCCAGGCAGAGAAATGCAGGTTTGGGGACTGGAGAGATGGCTCAGTGGTTAAGAGCCCTGGCTGCTTTTTCACAGCTCCTGAGTTCAATTCCCAGCAACCACATGATGGCTCACAATCATCTCTAATGTAAACTGGTGACCTCTTCTGTCATGCAGTCATTCATTCAAATAGAGCACTCATATACATAAATAAATACATCTTTAAAAAAAAGAAATTAGGTTTTGGGACTCTCCAGTCACCACTTAAGCCAATTGCTAGGCACTAACTAGGTATTGAAAAGCCATGTTTGCCAGGCGGTGGTGGCACACACCTTTAATCGCAGCACTCGGGAGGCAGAGCCAGGCGGATCTTTGTGAGTTCGAGTCTAGCCTGGACTACCAAGTGAGTTCCAGGAAAGGCGCAAATCTTGCAGAGAAACCCTGTCTCAAAAAACCAGGGAAAAAAAAAAAAAAAAAAAAGCCATGTTTTCGTTACAAAGCAATTACCCAGGTGATTCAAGTATGAGTATGAATCTTTTTAAACGTAACAACAGATGAAAAGTGTGGGGAGGGGGATCATCTCTTCTTTAACTCCTCCCTCCAGTTTCTGAATCAATATTAGGCAATTTGATCCCACAAAAGGCCACTTCTACAACTGAGAAGAGTAAAATTTGGTCAGAGTAAAGTAATTTGCCTACAGCGCCACCATCAGTAAGTGGAGTAACTGAAAAATTACTGAAGAACTTAGATTTATTCTGTATGACTCTGAAAAACGAAAGAACAGGCAGGCTATTTCGGCTCATTCCAAGAAGGAAGCGTTCAAGTAATAAACGTGCAAGTGCCAAGGGAGAGAAAGAACCATACAAGTGAAAGAGTAAGAGCGCGACGCAAACTCGAAATTGCAGCTGCTTTGCTAATAAGATAGAGCGTCAGTAGCATTATCTTCAGTACAGAATTGTTTCGGCTCGATGTAGTCAGGGCCACCGGGAAGCCCCATAGGTGTTTTCTGTACCTCTAGGTCAAGCTAGAAAGACCAAGAACGTGACAACACCAGACTCTTCTGTGCTGCTTAGTTCACTAGATCATGTCCAAAAGGTAGCGCGCTCAGCTGAGAACACTACAAATCCCATCGTGCCTCTCCAGCGGAGGTGGGCGGGCCCTTGGTGCACGTGGGCGACCCTGACCAATAACGACTGTCGTTACAGCGAACAGTTTGGCCGCGTTTGTAAAAGGCCGCCGCAGGCAAAGCGAGACGCGGCGAGGGCGGTCGCCAGCGAGAGGTCCCTAGAGGTGCGAGGTAGGTAAGGGAACCCTGTGTGCGAGGCCCGGAGCGGCCGGACACGGCCTGGGGTGGGGGTCAAGGCGGAGAATGTGTTCTGGGGACTGCGCGTCGGGGTGGTTACACTTCTGCTGCGACTCACTTAGCACCGGAAGTGGGCGTCGTGCGGAGGATGCCGGGATGCAGGTCGCATGGGAAGTGCGTTTGGTAGCCGGATGGTCCCGGAAGCTGTACTTAGGCGCGCGCTCCTAAACAACACTGTGGGACTGAGGCCCGTATTCTGTGATCTGACAGCAACCGACCTGATCCCCACACTCAGTAAAGGCCTACGAGCTTTGACGCTTCGGTCCAATTCGGCAGTCTCATCCCTAAAATGGGTAAATAGCGCCTCCACAGGTCCCTTCAGTGAATGCGCCTACTCCAGCAGTTCCTTCTCACCTGGGGAGCGCTAAACACGCCCCAAACCAGCATCCCCTACACCGACCAGCTCTGCGGCTGGGTGGCACCAAGGCGAAACCTACCTCGTTCTGGGTTCCCTCTCGCAGCGCCAGGCGCTGTTCATCCTCTTGCTAAGGAGAGACGACCATCCCGAGACCCTTCGGGTTTCCAACGCAGCTCCTTCACAAGTCACGCTCCTTGTGTATCCTTTCAAGACAGTCTGCAAGCCGGGCTCGGTGGCGCTGCCTGTCATCCCAGCACTCGGGAGGCAGAGGCAAGAGGATCTCGAGTTCGAGGACAGCTAGGCTAGGTAGCAGACCCTACCCCCCTCCCCCTCCAAAAAAAAAAGAACTAGCTGGGCGTGGTAGCGCATGCCTTTAATCCCAGCACTCTAACTGAGACAGGCGGATCTCTTGAGTTCGAGTCTAGCCTGGTCTAGGAAACCCTGTCTCGGAAAGGAAAAAAAAAAAGGTAAAAGAAAACTCTATAATGAGTCGTAGTGGTATATGTTTTAAAATTCAGATAGTAAAAAATGAAACGTAATTCTCCGTTTCCCAGGTCTCAAATCACTGCTGAGGCAATAGGCATCTATACTGTGTCCTTAATTTCTTTTTTTTAAAAAACGTGCGTGTGTGTGTGTGTGTGTGTGTGTGTGTGTGTGTTTTCCCAGTATGCCAAAGGAGTTGGATTCCCTGGAATTAGAGTTATAGGAAATTGTGTGCCCCCCGGATGTGGGTGCTGGCAACCGAACTTGGGCTCTCTAGAAGAGCAATACATTCTCTTAACCACTGAACCATCTCTCCAGCCCTACCTCCCCACCACCATTAATTTCTTTTTAAAACAAAAAAAATAGCATACACAAAGCACTACATCTTTTACACTCCACAGTATGTGTTGATAGGTGCTCCGTATACAGATCTCACTGATTTTTAGTGGCTTTACAATAAACTGCATATTACCTGGTTACACTGTTCTTAGTTCTTTACTGAAACTCCTCTTCCTTTTCTGCAGTTAGAAAGTCTCACAGAGGGACCTCTGTGATTTGGAGGCCAGCCTGGTCCACAGATTGACTTCAAGACCAGCCCAGGTGTGCATAGTGAGACCTTATCTCAAAAAGGGGGCTGGAGGGGGCGTTGCTGGAAAGATGTGGCAGTGGTGAAGAGTGCATACTGCTCCTGCAGAGGGTCTGAGTTCAGTTCCCGGCACCCGTGTCTGGTAGCTCACAACCACCTGTAACTGCAGTTCCAGGAGTATCCAGGGCACTCCTCCAGGAATGCCTGTGCTCATGCACATAGCCTGACACAGGCATACATATACATGTAATTAAAAGCAAAAATGAAAATATATACACATAAATTATGATATTTTAGAAGTGAAATTGCTAAAGCAAAGTGCTTATTACTTTTTTTTTTTTTTTTTTTTTTTTTTTGGTTTTTCGAGACAGGGTTTCTCTGTGTAGCTTTTGTGCCTTTCCTGGAACTCACTTTGTAATCCAGGCTGGCCTCGAACTCACAGAGATCCACCTGGCTCTGCCTCTTGGGTGCTGGGATTAAAGGCATGCGCCACCACCACCCTTTATTACATATTTTTATTTACATCCTTTCCAGTAGAGTTTTCAATATGCCCACTAACAATGTAATAATGACTAGTTCACATTCTATTAATAAGTAATTACTTTCATCTGTTTCATTACTTTGCTGCTTTTTGGTTTATTTGTTTGATTTATAGTGCTGGGGATTAAATCCAGGGCCTTAAGCTTACTGGCAAATACTCTACCTCTAAGCTTCATTTCCAATCTTTGTAACTCTTATAAAGTCTTTTCTGCTCTTTTCTGATGGCTTTTTTTTTTTTAATTTAATTGGTACTAGGAATTGAAACTAGAGGCCTCCCCCGGTTATCACTCTATAACTAAACTATATCTCAGCCCTCTCTTTAAAAAATTTTTTTTAGATTTATTTATGTATACGAGTATCTGTATACCACCACCCAGATGCCTGGTATCCTCAGACTTGAGAAGAGGGCATCGGATTCCTTGGAGCTAGAGTTAGAGATGGTTATGAGCAACCATGTGTGTCCTGGTAACTGAACCCAGGTCCTCTGCAAGAGAAAAAAATACTATGAACCTCTGAACCATCTCTCCGGCCTCCCCACCCCCTTTTTTTCTTAAAAGATTTACTTGTTTTTATTTTATGTGCCTGAATGTTCGTTTACATGTATGTCTATTCATCACTTCAGAGACCAGAAGAAAGAATCAGACCTCTGGAGCTGAAGTTACAGGCAGTTCTGAGTAGCATGTGGGTGCTAGGAATCGAACCCAGGTCCTCTGCAAGAGCAACAAGTGCATGTAACCGCTGAGCTATCTCTAGATCTCCCTCTCTCTTTCTTATCCCTTTAGCATTTGAATTTCATTCTCCCTCTCTTTTTTACGGTAGTAATAGTTTTATTGAAATGCTATACACATAAAATCGATTTTTTAAAAAATATTACAATTCAAGAGATCTTACAAATCTACAGAATTGAAAATCATTTCACAGAGTTTATAATATCTTTCATCATCCTGAAAGAAACACTGTAACCATCACTACTCAATCCCTCCTCCGTCCAGTCCTGTACCACTAGCCTCCTTCTGTTTTTACATATTTTCCTATTCTGGATGTTTCGCTCATGGAATCATACAATGTATGGGCTTCTGTATTGAACTCCTTTCATGTGGCGTACTGTTTCAAATGGCTAGTCATGAGAAATCTTGCTCAATGTAAGTATCCAATAGAGATTTGCAGATGAAAGTACAGTGAGATACCATATGATGCCCACTACAATCAGAGGGCTGAAATGAAGACTGCAGAAATAGAAATCTTAGGTTGCCTGTGGGAATATAAAGGACACAGCCCCTTTGGAAAACAGCTTTTCAGGTTCTGAAAATATTATGTTCAGAGAAGATAGCCATGTTTACTGTGTTTGAACATTACATAATGTTTACATGTATTGAGCTATATAGCCCAGCATTGTGGTCCATGCCTGTAATCCTATCTCTTAGGAGGCTGAGGAAGAGGATTATTAAGAGTTCGAGGCCTGCCTATGCTATCTAATATGTTTCAGATCACAGAATAAAACCCTATCTTAAAAACAAAATAAAAGAAATAGTATATGGTACCCAATAAATACACACATGGGGTCTTACACACGCTGAGCCAGTGCTCTGTCCTCAGGTGTACTACCTCCAGTCCAGTGTAAGTTTATGTGAAAACATTTGACTACATAAGTATTTGTCCCAATGATCTCAGCACTATGTATGGTAGCCAAAAACTTGGGAATAAGCCAAATGTCTGTTGACTGATAAGTGGAAAAACAAACATGACTTACTGATACACTGAAATACTGCATTTAACAAAAAGATTTTACAGGAAATTAGAATAATAGCTCAGCAGTTAAAAGTGCTTGCTGCTCTTCAGAGGACCAGAGTTTGGTTCCCAACACCGATATCAGGCTATCAGGTAGCTGTTTTTTGGGGGTTTTTTTGTTTTTGTTTTTTTAATTGTATATACAGTGTTCTGTCTGCATGCCAGAAGACGGCAACAGATCTCACATTTCGGATGGTTATGAACCACCATGTGGTTGCTGGGAATTGAACTCAGGACCCCTGGAAGAACAAGCAGCGCTCTTAACCTCTGAGCCATCTCTCTAGCCTCATCAGTCAGCTTTTTAACTGCATGTTACTCCAGCTCCAGAAGATCCTATACCCTCTTACTGGCCTCTGTGCATATATTCATACAGACAGATACACAAATAAAAATACAACTCTGAAAACATTTTGAGTAATTGAGTGTGGTTGCTCATGCCTTTAATGATTAGATTAATCCAGCACTCAGGAGGCAGAGGAAGCTGATTCTCATTAGTTCTAGACCAGTTTGGTCTACTAGTGAGTTTCAGGCCAGCCCGGGCTACATGGTTAGACCCTGTCCCAGAAACAAAACAAAAAGACTACTTTATTTACAAGCTAATACAAATATGCATGTATATGTGTATTTGTAAATTTGTTTCTCCGTTATTTTTATGCATAATTAGTAGTATATTATACATTCTGATTTTTACCTACATGTTTTTAAAGAATCACAAGCAGATTATCTTTTTTATTCTTTTAATAAAAAAGCATTAAGTGGCAGAAAAGATGGTTCTTATGGTGAAGTTCCTGCCTGCAGAACCCACATATAGAGCCAGGCACAGAGGTGCATACCTGTAATCCCAGTGCTTGGGAAGCAGAGCCAAGAGCATCCCTGGGGTTTCCTTGCCAATCAGTCTAGACAAAATGATGAGTTCCAGGTTCAGTGAAAGACCCTGTCTCAAAAACTTAGGTGTAAGGTTAGAGATGATTCAGTGGTAAACAGCACTTGTTGTTCTTGCAGAGGATCTGAGTTCAGTTCCCGGAACCCACATGGTAGCTCACAATCACCTGTAACTCCAGTTCCAGGGCATCTGATGCGCTCTTCTGAACTTCATAGGCACTAGGCATATATGTGGTGCACATACATACATGCAGGCAAAATCTTTAAAAAAACAAAAAAAATACAGTGGACCAGGTGTGGTGGTACAAGCCTTTAATCCCAGCACCCAGGAGAAAAAAGCAAGCAAATTCTGGGAGTTCAGGCCAGCCTGGTTTACATAATGGAGTTCAGGATAGCCAGGGCTACATATAGAGACCCTATCTTTAAAAAAAAAAAAAAAAAGGTGTAAAACTATTGAGAAGGACACCCATTGTCAACCTCTGGCTCCTTACTTGGGACCACACTCACATTTACACATACACAGGAGTATTAGTTAAGTGTAGCTGGGCAGTGGTGGTACACACCTTTAATCCTAGCACTCGGGAGGCAGAGCCAGGCGGATCTCTGTGAGTTCAAGGCCAGCCTGGTCTACAGAGCGAGTTCCAGGACAGGCTCCAAAGCTACACAGAGAAACCCTGTCTCGAAAAACAAAAACAAAAAAGAAGAAGAGGCTGGAAGAGGAGAAGTTCAGGGTCATCCTAGGCTCCATTCAGTGTTGAGGGGGAGGTGTGGAGAGATGGCACAGCAGTTAAGAGCACTTACTGCTCTTCCAGAAGACACAGGTTTGGTTCCCAGCACCTACATTGTGGCTCACAACTATCTATAACTCCTGTTCCAGGGCGTCTGGTACCCTCTTCTGACTTCCATAGTCACCAGGCATGCAGTTGGTGCATAGATATACATGCAGGCCAAACAAACACTCGAACACATAAAAATGAATTTTCAAAAATTGCAGTGAAAAATAAGAAACCTAAAGCACTCAAAGATATTATGTATTACCATTAGGGAAGATGAGTGTGACCAGTTCGCTGCTGTGACTTGTGCTCCTGTCAGCCCTGCATAATGCCATTACTATTGCTGTATTACTTTCTTGTTAGAAATTTCCATAGCAATATTTGATAAGGATTTCTCAAATAATTGTCAAAAATTGAGATGTGGACTCCTGGGGGCTTTTGCTTGTGCTGGTGTTCTGGTGCTGAGGACTGGCCCCAGGACTTGATGTGCACTGTGTACATGCTCTGCTGCTGAGCTGCCCCAGCCCCTATTCTGCCTATTTCTAAGTGGAAAGAACCATCTTTGTCATATGACAACTGTCTTCTCTTGTTTTGCTTTAGGCTGCCAAGATCTCTACCTAGGGGAGCTGGAATCAAACTGGAACTCTGACTGGAACCCTGAGCAAGCTTTGCTTGGGGAAAAGAGAATGTCTGCATTGTTACATCAGAGATCAGCCTTCAGAAGACTTAGGCCAAGTGGCATATCTCACTGCAAATGAGCATGCCTGTCTCTGTGCTGTCTGATCATCACAAACTAATGAAGCACACTTTAGGTCTTATGGACACAGGTTCCATTCTTCTCCAGGTGCCCTGGCAGCTGGTACAGGTAGGACTGGGAAGGATTGGGCTGGGATTCTGGGGACTAGTAGAAGGGAAGGAACCCATCTTTCCTGTCTTCTGGTCCTTTCTTATTGAGATAGGTTCTCATGTAGCCCAGATTGGCCTTGAACTCCTTTGTAACTGAGGATGACACTGAATTCATGTTCCTCTTGTCTTTCCCTCCTGAGTGCTAGGATTACACTGAGTGCTGGGTATGTACCACCATCTCCAGTGTATGTGGTGCTAAAGCAGCACCCTAGGCCCAGCAATTTGGGAGGCTAAGGCGGGAGGATCTGAGAGAATCTGAGACTAGCCTGGACTACTGTCTTAGTTAGGGCTACTGTTTCCGTAACAAAGCACAACAGCCAAAAAGCAATTTGGGGAGGAAAGGGTTTATTTGGCTTACACTTCCATATCACTGTTCATCATCAAAGGAAGTCAGGACAGGAACTCATGAGGGGCAGGAACCTGGAGGCAGGAGCTGATGCAGAGGCCAAGGAGGAGTGCTGCTGACTGGCTTACTCTGCTTATTTGCTTGCTTGCTCTATTCTTTCTTTCTTTCTTTCTTTCTTTCTTTCTTTCTTTCTTTCTTTCTTTCTTTCTTTCCTTCCTTCCTTCTTCCTTCCTTCCTTCCTTCCTATCTTTTATTCTTTTTTTGGTTTTTTAAAACGTATTTTTTTGTGTTTCTCTGTGTAATAGCCTTGGCTGTCCTGGGACTTTCTTTGTAGACCAGGCTAGCCTTGAACTCTCAGAGATCCACCTGCCTCTGCCTCCTGAGTGCTGGGATTAAAGGTGTGTGCCACCATGCCTGGCATCAGTCTGTTTTCTTATAGAACCCAGGACCACCAGCCCAAGGATGGCACCACCCACAATGGGCTGGGCCCTCCCCCATCAATCACTAATTAAGAAAATGCCTTACAGCCAGATATTATAAAGGCATTTTCTCAATTGAGGTTCCCTCCTTTCAGGTAACTCTAGCTTGTGTCAAGTGGAAATTACCCAGCACAGCTACATTTTTACAAGCCAGTCTGAGCTACAAAGTGAGATCCGATGTCAAAAATAAATAGAAATCCCTCCTTCTCTCTTTCTCTCTCTCAATGTTATCTTTGTGTGAATGTGTTCTGCTGATGGTCTTGTCTTTCTAGGGACCGTGAACAATGGAACCAAACTCTCAGAGGACTAAAGTCCCAGCTTTCTTATCTGACTTGGGGAAGGCCACATTGAGGGGAATCAGGAAGTGTCCCCGATGTGGTACGTACAATGGAACCCGTGGGTTGAGCTGTAAGAACAAGACATGCGGAACCATATTTCGCTATGGTGCCCGGAAGCAGCCTAATATTGAAGCTGTCAAAATCATCACAGGCTCTGATCTACAGGTCTACTCTGTGCGGCAAAGAGACCGGGGCCCTGACTACCGATGCTTTGTGGAGCTAGGTGTTTCAGAGACGACAATCCAGACAGTGGGTGGGACAATCATCACTCAGCTGAGCTCTGGCCGGTGTTATGTCCCCTCGTGTTTGAAAGCTGCCACTCAAGGCATGGTGGAAAACCAGTGTCAGCACATCAAGCTAGCAGTTAACTGCCAGGCAGAGGCTACCCCTCTGACTCTGAAGAGTTCAGTCCTGAATGCTATGCAGGCCTCCCCAGAAACCAAACAGACCATCTGGCAGTTGGCCACAGAACCTACGGGTCCCCTGGTACAGAGAGTCACTAAAAACATCATGGTAGTGAAATGCAAGACAAGCCAAAAGCACAGCTTGGGCTACTTGCACACGTCCTTCACGCAGAAAATCAGCTCCAGAAGCCTGCCAGAGCGTCGCTTCTTCTGCTCCTGCCAGACTCTGAAGTCACACAAGTCCAGCGTCCCCAAGGCTGAGGCAGCCCCGAGGTGCATCCACTTCTTTGCCTGCCTCTGTGCCTTTGCCAGTGATGAAACATTGGCTCAGGAATTCTCGGACTTCCTAAGTCTTGATGCCAGCGGTAGGTGGGAAGATTGACAGTTATTCAGTTGTTCTGAGATGGCAGTGAAGGCGTTCCACTGATGCCTTTGGAACTTGTCCTAACAGCCCTTAAAATCAGGTGCTAGATAGAACAGATGCATAGCACTCCTTTTTTTTTTTTTTTTTTTTTTTTTTTGGTGTGTGTGTGTGTAGGTAGGTAGGTACCATGGCTCACATGTACATATCTCAGGACAACTCTGGTGTCATTTCTCTCCTTCCACCTTTACAAGGGATCCAGGAATTGAACTCAGGTCCATGGCAAGTACTTCTGCCTACTGAGCCATCTCACCAGTGCATCTTTTTAAAAAAACAAACAAACAAACAATAACAAACATACTGTTAGACAGACAGTGGTGGTGCACGCCTTTAATCCCTGCACTCAGGAGACAGGGCCAGGCAGATCTCTGTGAGTCCAAGGCCAGCCTGGTCTACAAAGGGAGTTCCAAGACAGCCAAAGCTACACAGAGAAACCTTGCCTTTAAAAAAAAAAAAAAAAAAAAAAAAAAAAAAAAAAAAAAAAAAAAAAACCTCAATAAATAAATAAAACATAGTGTTTTGGTAAAGTAACCCAGCTGCCCTCAAACTCAATCCTCTTGCCTCTCCTATGTGCTGGGATTATAGGCCAGAGCCATCACTCCTGGCTAACATTCCTTCTTTGAATTCCAGCCAGCACAGCACATGCATAAAAGTTTGGTTGGATGGTTGAAACTAACGATAAAGAGAGGAACATTATTATTGAGATAATGGATTTAGCAGAGTGTGTGTGAGTGTGTGTGTGTGTGTGTGTGTGTGTGTGTGTGTGTGTGTGTATGTGTGTACACGAACGCAGGTGCCCAAGGAGGCCAGAGATGTCAGATATGCCTTTGAGCTGTAGTTACAGGCAGTTGTAACCTATGTGAGTGCCAGGAAGCAAACTTGTATCCTCTGTAAAAGCAGCACATGCTCTTAACCCTGAGTCATCTCTCCAGCCCCCCATTTTTATTTCTTAATAATTGTTAGCTACCAACAGCTCCCAGCTCTTTAGTTTTATGTTTCTCTATATAGGTATAAGGGTGTGTGTGTGTGTGTGTGTGTGTGTGTGTGTGTGTGTGTGTGTGTGTGTGTGCGCGCGTGCGCGCGCGCGCGTGTGCTGGAGATGAGACCTAGAGCCTTATACATTCTAAGCAAGCACTCTCCTCCCGAGCCGCTTCCCCACTCCTAAATAGATCACAGTGCTTGGGAGAGTTCTTTCAAGTAACATATTTTACTTGAAGCAACTAGTCTATCTTTTTTTTTTCTGGAGTCAGATTTTTATGAACTATTTTTTCTGTAGTAGGGGGCCCATAATTTCTTTTGGATAGTAATCGTAATTCAGAACCTTTTTTTTTAAGGTCTTAAAGAACTAATTGTGCCCCAGTTAGGCTGCCACTCAGAATCATCTGTCTCAGCTTGTGAATCTGCTACCCCTAAGCCACGGAAGAGGAAGAAGGAGGAAGTGTCTGGTGAGACAGTTTCACTTATTTCTTTGGTGTTTGGAGATTGTCTTTTGTCTTTCACTGAGTCTGAAGAATTGTGAGAAAGGACTTTTGTTCTTTGGTTTTGTTTTGTTTTTTTACATTTTATTTTTGTTTTTGTTTTTCGAGACAGGATTTCTCTGGGTAACCCTGACTGTCCTGGAACTCACTCTGTAGACCAGACTGGCCTTGATGAACTCAGAGATCCACCTGTCTCTGCCTCTCATGCTGGGATTAAAGGCGTGCGATATCACTGCCCTGCTAGGACTCTTGTTCAGAACAATTTATTTTTTTAAAGTATGGGCCAGGCCTGGTGGTACATTCTAGAAGCAGAGGTGGGTAGATCTTGAGTTTGAGGACAGTCTGATCTACCTAAAGAGTTTCAAGCCAGCCTCGGCTATGTAGTGAAACCCTATATCAAAAAAACCAAAACAACAACAAAAACCACACTGTGTATTGGGAGTGTAGTTCATTGGTAGAGTACTTGCTTAGCATGGACAAAATCCCCAACACCAAACGGCTTATTATAATGGAAATTGGGAGGTGGACACTGGTGGATCCTGGGAATGTGTTGACAACTTAACTAGCCAAATGGAGATCTTCAGGTCCAGTGTGTAGTCAGAAGGTTTCTCCAGTCCCACCCAGCCTGCGGTCCCACAGATACATAAAATAATTACTCAGAGGTTTATATTAATTACCAATTGCATAGCATATGGCAGGCTTCTTGCTAGCTAGCTCTTAAAGCTTAAATTAATCCATTTCTATTAATCTATGTTTTGCCATGTGTTCCATGGCTTACCCGTCTGCTGGCATGTTGTTCCTTGAGCAGCAGGCTGGCGTCTCTCTGCCTGTCTGTTCTCCACCTGTCTGTCTGCTTAGATTTCTTGCTTGGCTATATCCTGACTCAGCATAGGCCAGAGTAGCTTCTTTCTTAACCAACCATAGCAAAACATATTCACAGCAGAAAGACATCCCACAACACCAGTGAGAGACCCTTCTCATGGGATTATGGTAGACAGCAGTACAGGAAGGTAGCCAACATCCTGTTCTGGCTGCCACATTTTTACACACAAAAGTGCTCACCCCACCACCACCTGATGTTGCAGTATGTCACGGCATGGGTGTGTGGGTTCACTTGGATCCATGGGAAGAAGACTCAAACGCACCTTAAGAATGAATTTAGCCTTTGGCAGCTGCAGGGGAATCCAACCTCTGAGGACTAAAGCACTTTCCCTTCGCTCAGGGCATTTTTATTTTCTCTCTATTCATAGTTTAGCCAGTTAATTTCCGTATCTTCAAAGCAACCTGAAAGGAGCTCCCAAAGATAAAATGCCAAGTGCAAATTTCTTGATTTCTCAGGTACCACCGTTTTCCGAGTTTCCTGAACCAAGTTTTGTATAGGCCTTTAATCCTCAGGAGACTCCCAGACAAGATTCACAAAGGATGGATTAGGGCTAGATGCTACTCTCTGGAACCAAGCCAGGAGTAGCTCAGCAGGAATGTAGCCACAACCTGACACATACATACACAACAAACAATAAATAAACTGGCTGTAGTGGTATATGTAAGTAATCCCAACACTTAAAGGTGGAGACTAGAGGATCAGGATTAAAGTCATCCTTAGCTATGTAGCAAGTGAGGCCATCTTAGGCTACACTGTCTCAAAAGCAACCAAACAAACAAAAATCAAAGAAATATCTCGAAACTATCCATAGAGAAGAAAATGGAGGAGAGCTCACCAGGAAGTATGTTGGTTATCAAAGAGATGAAAACGGTGGGTAGATTCCTTTGCCCCACTTCTGTTTGCAGCCCCAATCTCTCATAAACAGCAGGAAAAGTTACAGTTTGGTGGTTAAAGGTCAATACTGGTTCCTTCTAGAAACTAAAGCTATCCTGGATATTAGCAAAGACTATGTTTTAGATGCTTTAGAAATTATTATCAAATCAAGTTTTATAATTTTAAAGAATTTAAAATGATATTTTTTGGTTTGATTTTGTTTTGGTTTTTTTTTTTTTTTTTTTTTTTCAAGACAGAGTTTCTCTGTGTAACTTTGGAGCCTGTCCTGGAACTCACTTTGTAGTCCAGGATGGCCATGAGCTCACAGAGATCCACCTGCCTCTGCCTCTTGGGTACTGGGATTAAAGGCATGCACCACCACTGCCCAGTTTAAAATATTTTATTTTATGTGTGTCTTGCCTGTATGTATACATATACATGTATGTATATTCATGTGTTTTTGTGCACCATGTATGTATCTGGTACCTGAGGAGGCCAGAGAATATGGAATACCCTGGAACTGCAGTCACAAGAGGTGTGAGCCACCGTTCGGGTGCTGGGAACTAAATCCGGTTCCTCTACAAGAGTAGCCAGTGCTCTTAACTGCTGAGCCGTTGCTCTAGCCCCAGGTGTGCAGACTTCTTTTAAGATTATCTCCAGGACTGGAGAGATGGCTCAGAGGTTAAGAGCACTGACTGCTCTTCCAGAGGTCCTGAGTTCAATTCCCAGCACCCACATGGTGGCTCACAACCATCTGTAATGAGATCTGGTGCTCTCTTCTGGCCTGCAGGTGTATATGCAGACAGAATGCTGTGTACATAGTAAATAAATAAATCTTTTTAAAAAAAGATCTCTAGAAGATAGCTCAGTGGGTAAAGGCTCATGCTATCATGCCTGAAGACCTGAGTAATTGAGGTCAATCCCTGGGACCCACATGATGGAAAGAAAGAGCTAACTCCCATAAATTATCCTCTGACCTCTGCATGTGCCCTGTGGCACACCCATATACACACATAAAAATAAATAAATAAATAAAAATGTTGAGGGCTGGAGAGATGGCTCAGCAGTTAAGAGCACTGGGTGCTCTGGAAGGGGTCCCACGGCCAGTTCCCAAGCACCCACACGGCAGCTCACAACTGTGTGTAACTCAAATTCCAAAGGATCTGGCATCCTCACACATATATACATGAAGGCAAAAACACTAATGCACATAAAATAAAAATAAATACATCTTTAAAAATCAATAAAGAAGTAACAATAAAAGTACTTTTTCCTACTGTGTATGTGTGTGTGGGTATATGTATGTGTATGTTCTTGGGTGGAGGTTGGTTCACTCCTTCCACTGTGTGGAAGATCTCAGGATCTTCAGGCTTGACAACATGTACCTTTCTCCATTGAGCCATCTTACTTGCTTGCAGACTTTGCCTGGAGAGTGGTCGGCTGGGACTGACATTTTTGAGACAGGGTCTCATATAGCTGAGTCTAATGAACTTACTATGTAGCTGAGAAGACCTTTAACTCCTGATCTTCCTGCCTCTACCTCCCAAGTGCTAAGATTGCATACCTGGGCTGGGCGGTGGTGGTGCACGCCTTTAATCCCAGCGCTTGGGAGGCAGAGGCAGGCGGATCTCTGTGAGTTCAAGGCCAGCCTGGTCTACAGAGCGAGTTCAGGACAGGCACCAACACTACACAGAGAAACCCTGTCTCGGGGGAAGAAAAAATTACATACCCGGCTGCAGAAATGACGTCATGCTTTATTTTGTTTTGGTTTTTAGTTTGTTTGTTTGTTTTTTGGTTTTTCGACACAGGGTTTCTCTGTGTAACTTTGCGCCTTTCCTGGAATTCACTTGGTAGCCCAGGCTGGCCTCGAACTCAGAGAAATCCACCTGGCTCTGCCTCCCGAGTGCTGGGATTAAAGGCATGCGCCGCCACCGCCCGGCTTGTTTGTTTTTTTGTTCTTTGTTTTTGTTGTTGTTGTTTTTGGTTTTTTGGTTGTTTTTTTTTTTTTTTTTTTTTTTTTTGAGACAGGGTTTCTGTGTATCCCTGACTGTCCTGAAACTAGCTCTGACCTCAAACTTACAGAGATCTGCCTGCCTCTGCCTCCTGAGTGCTGGGAATAAAGGCATGAGTCACCACCGCCTGACTTCGTTTTGTTTTTTGAGACAGGATCTCCTAAACCCCAGGCTAGCCATGCTGTGGAGGATGACCTTGACTTGATTCTTCTGCCTCCACTTCCTGATTGCTGGGATTACAGGTTTAGGCTACCATCCCCAGTTTAATGGGGCACAGAGCTCAGTCCAGGGTTTAGCACATGTTAGTCATGTGCTCCACCAGCTGAGTTGCACTCCAGTTCCTAGGCTTGTGTTCAGTATTATAACTGATTCGTGATCTAGGTTCACAGGTGAACAGCTCACTGATGCCTCAAGACGCAGTAAACAGCAATGTAAGGAAGAGTTGCCTGAAAAAGCCTGTGGTTGCCGCTTCACTGAAAAGACAGGGTAAGTTCCCCTTCCTAGAAGGGGCTTCATGGGTAGAATACTATCCAGAGGTAGTCTGAAGGAATAATCCAAAGAAATGTTGTGTGTTGCCTCCCGTGTTGTGTCACTAACATAAACAACAGCAGTGGATGGAGTCACGGTAGCTGAGGTCTCTCCTTTCCCCCAGGTTCAAATCATGCTCAAAACTATGCTGGGATGGAAAGATGGTCCATCCCAGTTAAAACAGTTTGCTGCTGTCATGAGTTTAGATCCCAGGACTCTCTGAAGCAGCTCACAAGCACCTGTAACTCTAGCTCCAAGGGATCTTATATGTCTTCTGGTCTTGGAAAAAACACATACACACAAAAATAAAACAATCTCAAGGCTAAAGGGATGGCTCAACAGTTTACAGCTCTTTCAGGGGAACTGGGTTCAATTCCTAGCACCTGCTTTAAGCAGCTCACAGCTGTAATTCAGTATGTAGACCAACCTGGTTCTGGACTTGTGATTCAACTCCAAAAGTAGCTCCAGCTCCAGCAGATTCAGCACCCTCTCCAGCCTCCAAGCACACTGAGCAGGCACATGGCGCATATTACATACTGTGTAAAAAAATAAATACATCTCTACATGTATTATGTTGTTATTTAGTTTGTCTGTATACACCTGTTGTTTTGCCTGCATGTGTCTGTGCCTGCATTCAGTGACCTCAAAGACCAAAAGAGGTTGTTGGATACCACTGAGACTGGAGTTACAGACAGTTGTGAGCTGTAGTGTGGGTGCTGGGAATTGAACCTGGCTCCTTTAGAAGAGCAGCCAGTGCTTCTAACTGCTGAGCGATTACTCCAGCTCCTAAAATAAATTTAAAAATAATAAATTATGCTGCCTCTATAGTGGTGTACTTCTGCAGTCCCAGTACTCAGGAAGTAGAGATAGAAGTATCACTATAGTTCAAAGCCAGCCTGGTCTGCACACTGGGTTCCAGGCCAGGCAGGGCTACATGCAAGACCTTACTTTAAAGAGCCAAGATGAGATAATAATAATAACAACAACGCTAAGTCTATAATCACAGAGACAGGATGGATCAGCACTTGCCAGGGTTAGTGGGAAGGTGTCTTGCAGTGGAAGCGGTTTTGTCTTGACTGTGGCTGAACATAGATAGGATGCGGAGCTGTGTTCACCCACCACACAGGGTATGGGAAGCTGGTGAGGGGCAGATGAGGCCATTGGGTTGTCCATGTCATTTTCTCTAGTGAGTATTTATTCTGTACATTATAAAATGTTACTCTGGGGAACCTAGGTGATGGGAATAGAAACTCTTGGGGTTTTGTTGTTTTAAGTTTTGAGACTGGGTCTCACTGTGTAGCCCAGTATGGCTTCAAACTGCAGATCTTATTACTTTAGACTCCTGAGTACTTGGGTTATAGGTGCACACTATCACACCCAGGAAAGCTTTGTATTCCCTACAACTGTATAAGAACATAAGAACAAAAAGCTGTATATATTCATTTAAAGAAAAAACTTTAAAATTACTGAAAGCAATTTTGTTTTGTTTTTTGAGACGGGGTTGTTCTGTGTAGCCCTGGTTGTCCTGAAATTCACTCTGTAGACCAGGCTGTAACAAGCTTTTTGTCTGCTGCCAGCTCACAAAGAACGACATGGAAACTTCTTATTAATTATGAAAGCTTGGCCTTTAGTTTAGGCTTGTCTCAACTAGGTCTTATAACTTAACCCATTTATATTAATCTACATTCTGTCACTTTTTTTTTTTTTTTTTTTTTTTTTGAGACAGGGTTTCTCTGTGTAGTTTTGATGCCTGTCCTGGATCTTGCTCTATAGACCAGGCTGGGCTTGAACTCACAGAGATCCGCCAGGCTCTGCCTCCAGAGTACTGGGAGTAAAGGCATGTGCTACCACCGCCCAGCTATTTCCGATGGCTCAGTCATTAAAGGCTAGGTTCACAACCAAAAACATTTCTTTTTTTTTTTTTTTTTTTTTTTTTTTGGTTTTTCGAGACAGGGTTTCTCTGTGTAGCTTTGCGCCTTTCCTGGAACTCACTTGGTAGCCCAGGCTGGCCTCGAACTCACAGAGATCCGCCTGGCTCTGCCTCCCGAGTGCTGGGATTAAAGGCGTGCGCCACCACCGCCCGGCTTCTTTTTTTTTTTTTTTTTTAATTAATTTATTTTATATGCATTGGTGTGAAGGTGTCAGACCGCCTAGAACTGGAGTTACAGACAGTTGTGAACTACCATGTGGGTGCTGAGAATTGAACCTGGGTCTCTTCGAAGACCAGCCAGTGCTCTTAACCGCTGAGCCATATCTTCAGCCCCAATTCTCTTACATTTCATTACCTTTCTTCCATCTTGCACCTCCTATTTCCTTTCCGTGTCTGGCTGAACTTCCCAGAGTTCTCTCTCTGCCCAGAAGTCCCACCTATACCTCCTGCCTCACTATTGGCCGTTCAGCTTTTTATTACACCAATCATAACAACACATCTTCACACCGTGTAAATATCCCACAACATTAGGCTGATCTCCAACTCAGATGTTTGATGCCTATGCCTCCCAAGTACTAGGATTAAAGGCATATGCTACTACCGCCTGTGAAAACAAAATCTTTGTTTTGGTTTGGTTTTTTGTTGTTGTTGTTGTTGTTGTTGTTTGGTTTTTTTTTGAGACAGGGTTTCTCTGTGTAGCCCTGGCATCCTGGAACTCACTCGTAGCCCAGGCTGGCCTCGAACTCATAGAGATCCAAGTGCTGGGATTAAAGGTGTGCGCTACTACTGCCCGGAGGCAGGATTTTTTTCAAGAGAGGATTTCTCTGTGTAACAGTCCTAGCTCTTCTGGAACTAGCTTTGGAGACCAGGCTGGCCTGGAACTCACAGATACCTACCTGCCTCTGCCTCCCAGGTACTGATATTAAAGGTGTGTGCCACCACTGCCCACCTGGCTAAAAACAAAATTTTTAAAGCTCTAAGTTATATCTTTTTTTTGTTTGCTTTTGTGATGTAAAGGATTGGACCAGGGCCTCATGTATGCTAGGCATGTGTGCTCACACCGAGCCCCATATACTCCCAGATCTTTATTCTGGCCCCATTAATTTCCATCCCTTGTTACTATATTTCTCAGTTGTTTTCTCCAGGGCTTCAAGATTTTACCATTTTCTTTTATTTGATAATAAGTCTTTTGCATTTCTGAATACAAACATTTATAGTTAAGTGTGAAGATACCATAGCAATTCAGAGTGAATGACTTCTTTTTTTTTTTTAAAGATTTATTAATTTATTATGTATACAGTATTCTGCCTGCATGTGTCCCTGCAGGCCAGAAGAGGGCACCAGATCTCATTACAAAGTGGTTGTGAGCCACCATGTGGTTGCTGGGAATTGAACTCAGGACCTCTGGAAGAGCAGTCAGTGCTCTTAACCACTGAGCCATCTCTCCAGCCCCAAATGACTTCTCTTAAGTGGCGTGCTCAACTTTTTTTTTTTTTTTTTTTTTTTTTGAGCTGAGGATTGAACCCAGGACCTTGTGCTTGCTAGGCAAGCACTCTACCACTGAGCTAAATCCCCAACCCCAATGTGCTCAACTTTTTGTTTCATTATTTTTTATTACTATTTTTATTTAATGTGAATAGGCATTTGCATGTATGTATGTCTGTGTAAAATGTGCATGCCTAATGCCTGCAGAGGCCAGAAGGGGCATCAGATCCCTTTGGAACTGGAATTATAAACAATTTTAAGCTGCCATGTGGTTCCTGGGAATCAAACCCTGGTCTTCAAGAGCAACCAGTGTTCTTAACCTCTGAGCCATCTCTCCAGACCTTGGTTTGGCTTGATTTGGTTTTGAGACAGAGTCTCACTGTGTAGCCCTTAGCTGTCATGGAACTTGATATGTAGACCAGGCTGGCCCTGAACTCACAGAAATCCACCTGCTTCTGACTCCTGAGTACTAGGATTAAAGGCATGGGCCACTACACCTGGCTGTTCAGCCTATTTTTCTCAGAACTCACTGTGTAGCCATGGATAGCCCTGAGCTCCTCCTGCTCCTCCTACCTCTACTTCCCAAATGCTAGCATTATAGGCAGACATCACCATTCCTGGCCTCTGTACCAGTCTTAGTAGGAAACAGAGAGCTTTATTACTGAGAGAATTTGTGTTAGGCAAATACATACTCAGAAATGGGAGTAATTTCTTTTTTTTTTTTTGGTTTTTCGAGACAGGGTTTCTCTGTGTAGCTTTGCGCCTTTCCTGGAACTCACTTGGTAGCCCAGGCTGGCCTCGAACTCACAGAGATCTGCCTGGCTCTGCCTCCCGAGTGCTGGGATTAAAGGCGTGTGCCACCACCACCGCCCGACAGGGAGTAATTTCTATAAGAGGGTATAGGATCCCTTGGAACTAAAATTACACCTGATGTGGATGCTGGGATCAGAATTAGAGTGCTCCAGAAGATGAGCAATTTTCTCAACTGTTAAGTCATCTTTCTAGCCCGTGATTAACAGTCTTAAACCTATTGGTTTTATGGGCTTGCATTCATTTTTGCAAATGAATGTACTTTTGTTCTTTTTTTTTTTTTTTTTTTTTTTTGGTTTTTCGAGACAGGGTTTCTCTGTGTAGCTTTGCGCCTGTCCTGGAACTCACTTGGTAGCCCAGGCTGGCCTCGAACTCACAGAGATCCGCCTGGCTCTGCCTCCCGAGTGCTGGGATTAAAGGCGTGCGCCACCACCGCCCGGCCTTTTGTTCTTTTGAGACAGGTTCTCATGTAACCCAGGCTGGCCTTAAGCTTACTGTGTAACCCAAGTGTGCCTGGAACTTATCATTATCCTCCTAGGTGCTGGGATTACAAGGATATACCATCATGCCCAGTATAAATGGATTTTTTTTTTTAATTTTTATAGGGCTGGAAAGATGGCTCAGCAGTTAAGAGCACTTGCTACTCTTAGAGAGGACCTAAGTTCAGTTCCCAGAATTCACACTGGGTAGCTCACAAGCAACTATAACTCTAGCTTCAGGTGATTCAATGGCCTGCTGGCCTCAGAGAGCACTGCATGCACACAGTGCATATACATATATGTAGGTACCCATGTAGACACATAAATAAAAATAAATATTAAAAAAAAAAAAAAGTCTAGGGGCTTGGAGAGATGGCTCAGAGGTTAAGAGCACTGGCTACTCTTCCAAAGGTCCTGAGTTCAATTCCCAGAAACCACATGGTGACTCACAACCATCTATAGTGGGATCTGATGCCCTCTTCTAGCATAAAGTCGATAGAGCATTCATATACATAAAATAATAAATAAATCTTTAAAAAAAATAAGCCTGTTATTACATTGGACATCATAAAAAGGTGTAGGCCGGGCGGTGATGGCGCATGCCTTTAGCACTCGGGAGGCAGAGGCAGGCAGATCTCTGTGAGTTTCAGGCCCACCTGGGCTACAGAGTGAGTTCCAGGAAAGGCGCAAAGCTACACAGAAAAACCCTGTCTTGGGCATTGGTGCCGCACACCTTTAATCCCAGCACTCGGGAGGCAGAGGCAGTCGGATCTTTGTGAGTTCGAGGCCAGCCTGGTCTACAGAGCGAGATCTAGGAAAGGTGCAAAGCTACACAGAGAAACCCTGTCTTGAAAAACCAAAAGAAAAAGATGTCTATAACAGCCTTAGCTGTGCGAAGCCCTTTGGGCTGGAGAGATGGCTCAGCGGTTAAGTAGCACTGACTACTCTTCCAGAGGTCCTGAGTTCAATTCCCAGCAACCACATGGTGGCTCACAACCACATATAATGAGATCTGTTACCATATTCTGGCTGCAGAGAAACTTGCAAGGAGAAACCCTGTCTTGAAAAACAAAAAAGAGCCAGGCAGCGGTGGCGCACGCCTTTACTCCCAGCACTCGGGAGACAGAGCCAGGCGGATCTCTGTGAGTTCAAGGCCAGCCTGATCTACAGAGCGAGTTCCAGGAAAGGCGCAAAGCTACACAGAGAAACCCTGTCTCGAAAAACCAAAAAAAAAAAAACAAAACAAAACAAAAAAGGAAAAAAAAATGTGTAGTCGTTATATGTCAATTAAAAAGAAAAAGTCCTGGAACCTATTTCACTTAGTTTATTTTCTCAGTATTTCATTTTTGTCTTCTTTGTTTTTTTTCTGTATAAACTACTTGACTATTTCAAGCTTCAGTTAATTATTTATTTTGAAAATTAATAAAAAAAGTTGCTTTTTTTTTCCTTTTCCTAGTCTGTGGTCAGCTGTTAGATGAGGCACAAGTGACCTTGTCCTTCCAAGATTGGCTGGCCAGTGTCACAGAGCGTATCCATCAAACCATGCACTATCAGTTTGATGGTAAGTACTGCTGGAAGTAGGAAACATCAAAGTGATATATATGCAATAGTTTTACACTGATTCACAGGAACAATAAGTGAACTTGATTTTCGAGAACACAGAACCAATAGAAAGTAAAAGTCAGGCCGGTGTGGCAGTACTGAGGCTGGGGGGTTGTCCTGAGTTATAGAGTGAGACCTGTTTTGTCGTTTCAAAGAAGAGTGGAATAGAGGTATAGCTTAATGTGAGAGCATGTGTTGTACATACACAAGTCTCTGGGTTCAGCTCCCAATACTAAGAAAAAAAAAAATGAGCTAGCCAGATGGCTCAGCAGTAAAGGCCAAGCCTGACAACCTGAGTTTGATCCCCAGGACCCACGAGATCCAAGAAGAGAACCAGGTCCCACACGCTGTCTTCTGACTTCTACATATGCATTGTGGCAGCACGTTCTCCCCTCCCCCATAAATAAATAATGTATATAAAGACAACAAGCAAAAGAAGAAGAAAGTAGACACCAAAGTTGAAAGAACTAAAGAATCATTATTATAATTGTCATTATTGGAGTACAGAACCAACAAAATGAATTTAGAGACAGAAAGAAAAAGAATAGTAGATAAAAACTGTGGTCTGCCTGGGTCATTGTCTTGAGTTTGTGTCTTTGGGGCAGATGCCAAAGTTTTAGATGTATTATAAATCCAAGCAGGGAGGGGAAGGCTCAAAGAAAACCTAACCCTCTGAAAACCAATGGCTGTACCAAATGCATAGGCTGAAGAAGGCTGGGGCACACAGGCTGGCTCAAAGTGTGATGCTGAAGCCTCCTGGAAGCCCAGTGAAGTCAGCAGAGGAGAGTCATTAGTGCTTGCCCACTGCCCTGAGCACATTCCTGGTGGACGGGGTGGCAGTTCGTCTTCATTGTCAGTCACCTTGACTAGATTTGGGTTGATCCAGAAACACACCACTGACAGAGATTTTTAACTGAGTGGGTGAACATAGTCCTAAGAAAACTTGAAATTTCCCAGGCAGTGGTGGCGCACACCTTTAATCCCGGCACTCGGGAGGCAGAGGCAGGCAGATCTCTGTGAGTTTGAGGCCAGCCTGGTCTACAGAGCAAGTTCTAGGAAAGGCGCCAAAGCTACACAGAGAAACCCTGTCTCAAAAAACCAAAAAAAAAAGAAGAGAGAAAGGAAACTTGAAATTCACCTCTGGCCTCCACACACCTGCATACAGGTACGCATGCACCTGCAAACATGAATGCACACATACATCCATCCGTACACACCAAACACTGAGTTTTGACATTGATTGGCATTCTACAGTCAATAAAAGTAAGCAAGCCAGGTGGTAGTGGTGCATGGCTTTAATCTCAGCACTTGGAGGCAGAGACAGGTGGATCTCTGTGAGTTTGAGGCCAGCCTGATCTACAAAGTGAGTTCTAGGGGAAAAAAGACAGGGCTTGTTTGGGCTCACAGTGTAAGGGTATGGGTTCATCATAGTGGGGGAGTCATGGTGGCCAGAGAGATTCCAGCTGTGCACAGCAGGAGTGTGGTGCCTGATCCTGTTACAACCAAAGTGTGTGTGTGTGCTTGTGTGCTTGTGTGTGTGTGCGCGCGCGCCCCCCACATTAGTGCAGTTGCCCACAGAGGTCAGAAGACAGTGTCAGGCTCTCCAGATCTGGAGTTACAGATGGTTGTGAGGCACCTGACATTGGTGCTGGGAACCATGCTCCAAGCCTCTGGAAGAGCGGCAAGTGTTGACTCATTTCTCCAACCCCCTAATTTATGTTTTTGAGAGCTATGTCACAAACTCACAATCCTGCTTCCGCCTCTAAAAATGCTGGAATTATAGAGTGTCCCACCATCCCTAACTCATTGTAAGGTATTTTTTTAACATTAGATAAATATTTGCCGGGCGGTGGTGGTGCACGCCTTTAATCCCAGCACTTGGGAGGCAGAGGCAGGCGGATCTCTGTGAGTTCGAGGCCAGCCTGGACTACAGAGTAAGTTCCAGGAAAGGCGCAAAGCTACACAGAGAAACCCTGTCTCAAAAAAAAAGAAAAAGAAAAAAAGAAAAATATTTAAGATTTATTTGAATGAGTTATTTGCCCGAATATATGTATGTGCACCACATGCATGCTTGGTGTCTGTGAAGGTCAGAAGAGGTAATCAGACTCCCTGAAACTGGAGTTATGGATGGTTGTGAGCCACGATGTGGGTGCTAGGAACCAAACCTGGGTCTTCTACAAGAGCCACAAGTGCTCTTAACTGTTGAACTAACTCTTCAAGTCAGCTGGAGTCTCTCTCAAAGCCAGGTGTTGTGGCGCACCCTGTAGTTCTAACACTCAAGGGACAGAGGAAGGAGGATCACTACAGGTTTGAAGTCAGCCTGAGCTACAGAGTGAGTTAAATTCAAACCAGCCATGCTACAGAGTAAAAGCATGTCTAAAAAATACCTTTCTCGGGGGCTGGAGAGATGGCTCAGAGGTTAAGAGCACTGGCTGCTTTTGCAGAGGTCCTAAGTTCAATTCCCAGCAACTACATGGTGGCTCACAACCATCTATAATGAGATCTGGTGCCGTCTTCTGGCATGCAGGTATACATGCAGGCAGAACATTGTATACATAATAAATAAATAAATCTTTCTCAACCAGGCATGGTGGCACATGCTTTTAATCCCAACACTTGGGAGGCAGAGGCAGGTGGATCTCTGAGTTTGAAGCCAGCCTGGTCTACAAAGCGAGTTCCAGGATAGCCAGGGCTACACAGAGAGACCCGTCTCAAAAAAAAAAAAAAAAAAAAAAAAAAAAAAAAAAAAAAAAATCTCTTTCAGGTGAATTCAGGTGAACCACAACTCTGTGCTTAGCCATAGAGCTCTGGATGTTCCCTTCTGCTAAGATTAGGAAAAACTCTGAGCTCATGCACCCCTCTACAGAACTGTTGACTTTTTCTTCATCCAAATGAAGAGATGAGAATGTTCTCCCAGATTGAATGTGCCCTGGAGTCACAGACTGAATACTCAAACCCTGTAATCTTCAGCACTCATGGTCCTGACCTTGCAGGTGAGAGCAGCCTCCTGCTTTGTAGACAAGAGTGCAGCTGGCAAGTGCCTGGGCATAGAGGCCAGAGTTCATCAAACAGACCTGCCAATCAGAGGCTCCTCAGCTCTACTTGAGTGTTCTCATTTCCTATGCTGTAGATGAATTTCTAAGTGGTCTTATTAAATAAGAACATGGAGTCAAATATAGGGGTGAAAGCCTTAGAGATCAGGGAAATAGTGAGAGCCACCAACCTTACCCCTCCAGCTCTGCGGCTGCTAAAAAGGAGTGACTTGCTCTCTACCCGCGCCTTTATTGCCTTGCTGTTCTGTCCTCTCATTGGCTCTTAGCGCAGCTACCTCACTTCCTTGTCACTGCCTGTCTGTACAGACCTCCAGGTCTCTGTGGTTGGTACTGGGGTTAAAGGTGTGTGTCACCACACTTGGCTGTTCCCTAGTGTGTCCTTGAACACACAGAGACTCTGCCTGCCATGTGATCTGATTAAGGGCATGTGCTAACCACTGCCTGACTTTTGTGTTTACTAGCTTGTTATTTCCTCTGATCTCCAGGCAAACTTTATTAACATGCAAATAAAATATCACCACACTATGCCCTTAATGAAGAAGTCTACTCTGGTGGTGCTTACACAACTAGTGATCTGAAGTCATCCTTGGTGAAGGACAGGTGTGTTCTGAGCAAGGGATGAAGGACAAGGCTGATGCAGTCCTTGGCTCATGAAATCCCACTAGCCTTTCTGCCTTAAAGAAACCTCGGGTATATTATTATATATATATATTTTGGTCACGAGAGGGGCACGTTCATGTCATGGCCAGTGTGTGTCAGTTAAAAGAGAGCTTGCAGGAGTTGGTTCTCCCTTTCCACCATGTGGTTCCATGAATTGAACTCAGGTTGTCAGGCTTGGAGGCAGGTGCCCTTAGGCACGGAACTGTCGCCCCAGCCCACATCAGGTACTTTTGATTACTGCCCACTTCATCCCTTCCTTTGCCCTCTCCTTGCACATCAAGAAGACAAGCATTTCTTTAAATGACTTCCTTCTTTTTTCTGCAGGCAAACCAGAGCCCCTGGTGTTCCACATTCCTCAGTCCTTTTTTGATGCCTTGCAACAGAGAATATCCATAGGAAGTGCAAAGAAACGGCTCCCCAACTCCACCACAGGTGCGGAGTCTCCTGGGAAGACCAGTGGCAATTGTGACCTTAGAGAACTATGTGTGGAAAAATCTACATGGGACTTTCAGGGTTAGCAAGTCGGAGCATGTTACCAGAGCATGAAACCTACAGTAATTAGCTCTTAGAACAGTGGCCAACCCTCCAAAGGCAGATACTTTTTCCAGTAAGAGTGAATGAAAACATTCAGGAGATGTAAATCTTGTAAATGACTAGCAAAGACTGTTTGATACTTCTAGGTCTGGTACAGTTTCCACAAAAACATCTGAAGCCCCAGTGGCCAAAACCTAAAGGGACATTAATAAATATGTCATCAGTATGCAAATGGACCTAGGTTTCCACTCTCTCAGACATGATTGCTTATCAGCATCTTTGAGAGCATTTGTGTTAAACTGACAGAAGTCCAGAGGGGAGCTTTCCAAAAACTTTGGTCTGGAGGAAATACTTCCAGTAGTACATTAAGACTATAATTCTGCCAGGTGGTGGTGGTGGTGGTGGTGGTGGTGGTGATGGTGGTGCACACCTTTAATCCCAGCACTCCAGGCAGAGGCAGGTGGATCTCTGTGAGTTTGAGGCCAGCCTGGCCTACAAAGTGAGTTCCAGAACAGCCAGGGTTATTACACAGAGAAACTGTCTGGAAAGACAAAATGATAAATAATAACAATAATATAATTCCAACCTGGCATGGTGATGCACACACAACACTCAGGAGGCAGAGGCACGCTGATCTCTTGAGTTCGAGGCCAGTCTGGTATACAGGACAGCCAGGGCTACAGAGGAAACCCTGTCTCAAAACACAAAACAAAACAAAAAATAGAGTATAATTCCTTAGCAAATCCTGTTAGCATGAGCCTCCACCAATAAGATTAGAACTTCAGAAAGCTTATGTAGGAAAACAACAGCAACTAAAAACCTGTGCTAGTTACTTTCTGCTAGCTGGGTCAAAAAAAAAAAAAAAAAAAAAAAAAAAAAAAAAAAAAAACCCAAGAATGCAACTTAGAAGAGAAAGGTTTCTTCTGGCTCATCATGATGAGGAATTCATGGCAGCAAGAGGAGGCAGCTGGTCACATGGCATCCACAGGAAGCAGGGAGAAATGAACGCTGCCACTCAGCTTGCTCTCCCTTTTTATTCTATCTTGGACTCTAACCCCTAGAATGGTACCATCATATTTAGATGTGGTCTTCCCACCTTAGTTAATCTATAACTCCCTGAAAAACATTCTCAGAGGCTATTTCCATAGTGATTTTAAATCCCATCAAGTTGACAGTATTAATGGTTTAAAACCACCTGTTGGTAACTTAACACCAAAGCACATCACTATAAACCTTGACATTCATCTCTAGTTCCCATAGATACACAGCCATCTCATAATACAAAATACATCCAGTTCAACATCATAAGTTCACATATGTTTCCAGTGGGTCCCATCTAAGACTCCTCAGTCTTAATCATGAACACCTATAAAATGGGAACCAAGTTACATCTAATATACAATAGCATAGAATAAGCATCCCTATGGAATGGGGTATACCTCAAAATGGAAGAATTGGGGCATAGCAAAGAATAATTGGACCAAAGCAAGACCAAAACCCATCAGGGCCAACATCAGATCCCATACTTTCATGTTGAGTATCTGGAGCTCCAGATGGGCCTGGGGAGCTCCACCCCTCCAACTCTATTGCTTCTCTCTTGAGCCAGCTCCACGCCGTGTGTGCAGCTTTCCTCCACAAATACTCCACGGTCCTGCTGTCTTCTTCATCCTGGTTCTCCACTGCAACTTGGGCTTTACCTTCATACCTTTACTCAGTAGCCTCTCAGGAACACCAACCTTGCCGACTTTGCCTTCAGTGGCTCCCTGGAACCATGGCACAAGACTCCATGGCTTCTCACTTTCATCTTTAACACCTGCAAGACCAATATCTTGTGGACAGTGCTGCCGACTTAGGATGGGCCTGGCCTCCTTCAGCCACAGTTGCAGTGGCTGTTGTGTGCTGATTCTGGGGACCCTTTCCAGGCATCCTCAGTTGAGACTACTCTTTATAGTGAATTTGCACTTGCACAAGATGGGGCCCTTGATAGGTGGGGTCTTGCCCCCAAAGCCCTTTTCCTGTTGTCCCAGTGCCGAGTGCCATGTTTCTTTTGAATGCCTCTAACCTAAGTTACAGCTGCTTTCAATCCTGCGTTGTCTCTAACTTTAAACTCGCTCAAGCTCTTTTTCCTTGACAAACTGCACATTTTTCATATATTCTCTGCTCCTTTTTTGTTCTTTCTCCCTGGGGACCCTAATAAGCAGTGAGCCAAAGTCATGATATATATAGTCTGAATGCCATCCTGTCTTGAGATAACTAGTAGTCCATTCCTTTTGAATCCAGCCTCACTCAAGCTCTCGGGACACAGACAAAAATGTAGCCCGTTTCTTTGCTTGAATATAACATGAATGCCTAACTGGCCTAGTTCTTGATAGAGTCCTCATTCCTCTCTGAAAGCACATAAACCAGGCCTCTCTTGGCACTCTGGTCTCCCACACTCCCTACCAAGATGGCCCATTAAGCCCTACTTACAACACTCTAGGACTTCGCTAGCCCACAGAGCCAAACTCTTCCACATTCCTCCAACAAACCAATTCCAGAAGCCCATGAACCACAGTCAGGTTTATTAGATCAACAACCCTAATTTTTTTTTTTATTTTGGTTTTTCAAGACAGGGTTTCTCTGTGTAGTTTTGGTGCCTGTCCTGGATCTCGCTCTGTAGACCAGGCTGGCCTTGAACTCACCGAGATCTGCCTGGCTCTACCTCCCAAGTGCTGGGATTAAAGGCGTGCGCCACCACTGCCCAGTCCCTGATTCTTATTTCTGTATTAGTTACTTGTTGCTGTGATGATGTCCTAACAGGGAGTAACTTAAGGAAGGTTTTAGGTAGGGTGGTGATGGCTCACACCTTTAATCCCAGCACTGGGAGGCAGAGGCAGGAGGGTCTCTGAATCTGAGGCCAGCCTGGTCTACAGAGTGAGATCCAGGACAGCCAGGGCTACACAGAGAAACCCTGTCTTGAGAAAGAAAAAAAAGAAATAAAAAGAAGAAAGGTTTTGTTTTTGCTCACAATTTGAGGGGCTACAGTCAATATGGTAGAGAAGGCATGGCACCAGGAAAATGAGGCAGCAGGTCGCACTATTTACAGTGGAAAACAGATTAATCCTGGTTCTTAGCTTGCGTTCTCCTTTTCATTCAGTTTGGGACCCTGTCTTAGTTAGGGTTCTGTTGCTGTGAGGAGACACCATGACCACAGCAAGTCGTATAAAGGAAAACATTTAATTGGGCTGACTTACAGTTTCAGGGGTTTAGTCCATTATCATCATGGTGGGACATGGTGATGTGCAGACATGGTGCTGGAGAAGGAGCTGAGAGTTCTACATCTTGATATTCAGGCAGCCTATGTCTATGTCCACACCAGGCACAGCTCCAGCATAAGAGACCTCCAAGCCTGCCCCCACAGTGACATGCTTTCTCCAACAAGGCCACACCTCCTAATAGTGCCGCTCCCTATGAGCTACCACATGACCCAACCCATGGAGTGATGCCACCCACTTTTAGGGTAGACCTTCCCCACTTGGCATAATCTAGAAACTGCCTTATATGCCTGCCTGGAGTTGATTCTAAATCCAAACAAGTTGACCATCAAATTAACCATTATGCCAGGCACGATGGCACATGCTTCTAATCTCAGCACTCAAGTGGCAGAGGCAGGTAGAGCTCCAGGAGTGTGAGGCCAACCTGATCTACATAGTGAGTTCCAGGCCTGTCAAGGGTACATAGGGAAACCCATCTCAAAAAACACCAGCAAACATGAAGATTAACCACCACAAATTTTCTCTTAAACACTCCTAAGCTTTGAAAGAGGGAGGTTTTATTTTTAGAGTAACTTTTTAAAAATAAAGAAAAAAACGGGGGGCGAGGGAGCCACCAGGTGGCCAATACCCAAAAGCGATCACAACTAGAGAGCAAGGGTGTTTCTGCAGTGAGTTGTTCAGTCAGTCTGTGTTTGAATAGTACAAGCTGTGAATTCACGGTAGGGACTGTGAGGCCCAGAGACTTCCATCGCCACGGCTTATCTGCCTGATGTCCTTAGACTAGAGGACTCATAAAGGAGTGCTACTCCCTCAGCTGTGCTGTGGGCCCTCTGTTGGAGCTGCTTTAATCCCACGTGCAGGTGGTGGGTAGGCAGTGGTGTAAGTCTTTAAAGACTGTGATTTGATTGACACATTATGTCCCATGTTGTAAGAGGTTTTCAGAATGGAGTTCCATACACATAGCTCTACCAGACACAAGGACAGTAGCACAGGGGTCTGGATTCATCCTGGCACTACAGAAAAGAAACACGTAAACAAGTTTCTAAGGCCTGAAAGTGAGCATGTTGAAGAAGCCTCAGAGACTTGTGTGCTGGAAATCCGTATCATTTGGTGGTCAGTTGCTGCCAGACTGTTAGACACTTGCAGAACAAGCGGGATTTCAGAATGTGAGGAGAAGGGCTGTACTGCAGTGAGAGCCACACTGCCTAACAAGTGTGGCCGTCTGGTACTGAAGTGTGTCCCCTTCCTTTTCACTGCAGCTTTTGTTCGGAAAGATGCCTTGCCACTGGGAACCTTTTCCAAGTACACCTGGCATATCACTAATATTCTGCAAGTTAAACAAATTTTAGACACCCCAGAGGTAAGAGTTTATTCCTCAGGAGCCGTGTGTGTGCAGGTACATGTGCACATTTGTGGATGTGTGGGCTAGAAGTTCACATTAGGTGTCTTTTTTTTTTCCTTATGTAGTCCTGACCATCCTGGGGTGTTAACTGTCTTTTTTTTTTTCTCTTCCTTCCTTCCTTCCTTCCTTCCTTCCTTTCTCTCTTTCTTTCTTTCTCTCTTTCTTCCAGATTTATTTATTATGTATACAATGTTCTGCATGTATGCCTGCATGCCAGAAGAGGGCACCAAATCTCAATATAAATGGTTGTGAACCATCTTGTGGTTGTTGGGAATTGAACTCAGGTCCTCTGGAAGAACAACCAGTCCTCTTAACCTCTGAGCCATCTCTCTAGCCCTCCTGCTCCCCCTTTTTCTTATTGGTTTTTTGAGACAGGGTTTCTCTGTGCTGGGATAAAGTTGTGTGCCACTACTGCCTGGCAAGAGACGTAGTCTTTCATTGACCTGTAGCTCAACCAGTTCAGTCGGACTAGCTGCCCAGCAAGCCCCAGGGATCCACCTGTCTCTCCCGCCCCACCTTGTTTTTGAATCAGTGTCTTTCTTTGGCCTTGATAAGCTCACCAAATAGGTTAGGCTGGCTGGCCTGTGACCTCTAGGGTTCCACGCCTCTCTGTGCCTTCAGCACTGAAGTTACAAACAAGTCTCCCCACACCTGGCTTTCTAGAGACAACTGAAATTCAGGTCCTCCTGCTTACATGCCAAGCACTGACTGAGCCATCTCCCCAGCTCTTAAAGTTCCTTTTTTTATGCTAAGGGATTATTTAGACATAGTCTGTATAGCTCTGAGTCTAATTTTGGTAGGTATTCATGCTTTAGAAAGTCTTAAAGGGCCAGTGTGATGACTCCACAGGTAAAGGTTTGGTGACCTTAAATATGACCCCAGCACCATATAAAATGGGGTGGTGGTAATACTTTCAGTCCCAGCACTAAGATGGAGGCAGGAGGATCAGAAGTTCACAGTCATCCTCAGCTGCATATCAAGTTAGACGCCAGCCTCAGCTATATGAGACCCTGTATGAAAAATGAAACTAGCACCTTTGGGGTCAAAAAGCAGGATTTGGGGCCAGGCATGGTGGTACATGCCTTTAATCCAAGTACTCAGGAGTCGGAGGCCAGTGTGGTCTACATGGTGAGTTCCAGGCCAGCCAAAGCTATCAAATAAAACCCTGTCTCAGCCGGGCGGTGGTGGCGCACGCCTTTAATCCCAGCACTCGGGAGGCAGAGGCAGGCGGATCTTTGTGAGTTCGAGGCCAGCCTGGTCTACAGCGCGAGATCCAGGAAAGGCGCAAAGCTACACAGAGAAACCCTGTCTCGAAAAAACCAAAAAAAAAAAAAAAAAAAAAAAAAACCCTGTCTCAAAAAAAAGGGGCAGGATTTCCCTTATGAATTAATTCATGATATCCTGGTATCTATGAAGAACCTAGACTTCCCTGATTGGCACTAGAATGGATATTAACAATATTAGATGACATTTTATTTGTGAAATCACTGTGTTCAATGTATTTAAGCTCTCTCCCCAAACTGTAATTTGACCTCTACCTATTATTCTCTTTCACCAGGGACTCACTGAATATTTTACTACATTTACTTGCTGATTTATTGTGTGTGTGTGTGTGTGTGTGTGTGTGTGTGTGTGTGTGTGTGTACACGCGCTTTGTGCATGTAGAGGTCAGAAGATAGTTTGTAGGAGTTGGTCCCTTCCTCCTACTCTTGTGAGTAGTTCTGGGGTTGAATTCAGGTTGTCAGCCTTGCCAGGTACCATTACCAACTCAGCCATCTCACAGGCCTTACACTGTGCATTTTTAAATAGTTTGTTGAAGCAGATCTGAAATTTTGAAGGGGTTTTCCCTTCCAAAAGAAGTAAAATGTTTCAAAATATTCAACATAGTGTGACTCTGATACATGAAGGTTAATTTAGGCAGGTTTAGTAGCTCATACTTTCAATCCCAGAACTTGGGAGGCAAAGACAGAAATCTATAATTCCCAGGGTACATAGTGAGACTGTCTCAAAAAACAAACACGAAAAGATTAGATTAACAACAAAGCATCATTGTGTCCAGAGGAAAGGTTCTGATGGCTGCACAGCTTAATGTGTGAACCCTAGAAAAGCCCGAGAGTAGCACTGAAGACACTTGGAGAATGTTAAATCCAGCTTCTAGCCTAAAGCAACGGCATTCAGGGGGGCACCAAAGACCCCAAGGCCGCGTGAGGGGCAAGAGCTCTGCTGCCTGGGTACCTGTTCCTGAGTGTCTTTTGCTATCTGGCCCATCCTCCATCCACACGGCACTGATATCCACTGTGTTTTTCCCAAAGAAGTCACTGATTTGTTCAGGGTCATTGTCAAGTTAGGTGGCTGAACCCAAGGACAGTGAAGTACCAGGATGTGAGATGAGTGACAGGTGCCCACGAGTATTAGGAGCAGAATGTTGCCTGTGGCAAGGCAGAGGCCCGTGCCGGCCATCACTGAGTGTGGGGGTCTGATGGCTTCAGGCTACACAGGGTTTGCTGGCGGCGGCGGGATTCCAGTGAGAGAGCCACAGGTGATGGAAGGAAAGACACAGATGTGTTGGCAGGACTTACTTGAAAATACCAAAGAGGAGATGGTGTGATGATTCAGTGGATTAGAGCACAAGGACTCCAGTTCAAATCCTCAGCACCCATGTTTAAAAAACAGAAAAGCTAAGTATGGCCACACAGGCCTGCAACCCCAGCTGTGGGAAGTGGAAGCAAGTTTTTGGGGCTTGATGGCCTCCAGCCCAGCTCCAGGGTCAATGAGAGACCCTGTCCTGAGGTTCGGCGTGATAGAGTAGAAAACCCTTCATCTTCCTTCGCTCACTCTCTGTGTGCATATAAAGGCACATATATCTGTACACATATGCACATATACAACATATATATACATGGAATACAAAAGAAAGTTCGCCGGGCGGTGGTGGCGCACGCCTTTAATCCCAGCACTCGGGAGGCAGAGGCAGGTGGATCTTTGTGAGTTCGAGGCCAGCCTGGTCTACAGAGCGAGATCCAGGAAAAGGCGCAAAGCTACATAGGGAAACCCTGTCTCAAAAAACCAAAAAAAAAAAAAAAAAAAAAAGAAAGTTCATTGATTTGCCTGCACTTAAAAAGAATATCATGGGGCTCACAACTGCCATGTAACTGTAACTCCAGCTCCAGGGAATCCAACATGCTTCCTGCTGGTTTCTTCAGGTACCCACATACATGGGAGGCATACATACACACTGCCAGACCCCAAACACACCTGAGGCTCCTCCCAGCACTTCTCACCACCCTACCCTAAACTCTCCAGGCCAGGGGCTGGGCTTCCCTTCTCCCAGTTTTTTTCCCATATAACTCATCTGTAGTTGGAGTTTTCCTGCCTGGCCCACAGTCAGGACAAATCTCTGTCACCCGCCAGTCCCACAGCCACTCAGACCCGACCAAGTAAACACAGAGACTTATACTGGTTACAAACTGTATGGCCGTGGCAGGCTTCTTGCTAACTGTTCTTACAGCTTAAATTAATCCATTTCCATTAATCTATACCTTGCCACATGGCTCGTGGCTTACCGGCATCTTCACATGCTGTTTGTCATCATGGCGTCTGGCAGTGTCTCTCTGACTCAGCCTTCCACTTCCCAGCTTTATTCTCCTCCTTGTCCCGCCTACACTTCCTGCCTAGCCAATGGCCAATCAGTGTTTTATTTATTAACTAATTAGCAACACATTTGCCATACAGAACATTCCACAGCACTCATCCACTTTGGCTACGCACTCTCTTGGTTCTGATCTTGGTTCTCTTTGTTTCCATGTGCTCTTTGGTACTCTTGCACCCCATCCCCTCCTTCCATGGCCTGGTTCAGACTGGACCCTTACAGATAGCTGTAGCTGTTCTCTCCCTCATATCTACAACAAAACCCTTCTCCTCACTCATACATACGAGCAGTCATGTCCTTATTTTCATTGACACACATACACATAATAAGATTGATATTTTTAAAAGATAAAAAGAATCTTAAGAGACCTAATGGCACCCAAGATGCACATATGTCAAGTTTTCTATGTCTCTGTTGTCTGTCTCTGTGTCCAGATGCCCCTGGAAATCACACGGAGCTTTATCCAGAACCGAGATGGGACTTACGAGCTATTTAAATGCCCTAAAGTGGAAGTAGAGAGCATAGCAGAAACCTATGGCCGAATAGAGAAGCAGCCAGTGCTGAGACCTTTGGAGCTGAAAACCTTCCTCAAAGTTGGTAAGTGACTTTCAGAAGCATTTCCCCCGAGGGTCACCGGTTTTCGGTGCTGTCAGAAGTTCTGGATCTCATCTTTAATCAAAGCACATTCACTCATTTTGTAGGAACCTGAGAAAAGGCTTTTGTCTCTTTTGAGCTGGTGCTTTCTGAACAGCAGCTGGAATACATGAACCATGGACAGATCATGAAAGAAGCAGTGAACCCCTGTAGCCCTCCCTCCTCACAGCAGCATCACAATTATTTTCATATAAACCTCCCCCTCTCCCTCCACTCCGACCCACCAGGGTCTCACTGTGGAGCCCTGGCTGGTCTGAAACTCAACATGTAGACTGAATGAAAAAAAGAAATAAATAGCATTCGGGAGGCAGAGGCAGGCGGATCTCTGTGAGTTTAAGGAGAGCCTGGTCTACAAAGTGAGTTCCAGGAAAGGTGCAAAGCTTCACAGAGAAACCCTGTCCAAAAAAAAAAAAAAAAAGAAATAAAAAGGTAGGACATGATTGTCCCTAGGTATAGTGGAGGAAAAGGTTTATTGTAGATAAAAGGGAGAGCATAACCAGAGGTAAGGACATTTGGTAGAATCCAGAGTGAACATGACCCTGAGCTGGCCCATGTGGGGGAAGCCAGGAGAGTAAAGGGTAGAGAACGGGCTGGGTAACCAAAATGGCTGGATTATATAGGGAAGAGCAGCCTAGCCCTTGGGTTGGAGAAGTTTAGGGTAGGGGGTGGGTATGCCAACCATACCCTGTATGTAGGTAGGAACCGAAAGATGGTGGGAAAACCTGGCAGCCAGGTCCAGTTTGATATGTTAAATAGGCACCCCAGCCATTTTTCCCAGGTTTGAGACCTAACATAGACCAGGCTGGCTTTGAACTCAGAGAGACCTGCCTGCCTCTGCCTCCCAGTGCTCAGATTAAAGGTATAGCATGTCTGGCTAGACTCCTTACAGCAAACATGAACGGAAACATGGACTCATACCTTAGCCACTTTCCCCCTTGATCTTACACCACTCTCCATATTTATACTCAATGTTAGTTTTCAACTTTTTCTTTACATTTATGTATCTGTGTTTATGTGCATGTGTGTATACATCCGCCACAGCATGTATGTGGAGATTAGAGGAATCAGTTCCCTCCAGTAGGTTCTGGGCATTGAACTCAAGTCATCTGACTTAGTGGAAAGTACCTTTACCTGCTGAGCCATCTCGACAGTCCTTCTAAAAAAGGAATTTTTTCTTTTTTTTTCTGTTGGGTTTTTTTTTTCTTTTTTTTAATATTTATTTATTATGTATACACTGTTCTGCCTGCATGTATATCTGCACGCCAGAAGAGGGCACCATATTTCATTATAGATGGTTGTGAGCCACCATGTGGTTGCTGGGAATTGAACTCAGGACCTCTGCAAGAGCAGCCAGTGCTCTTAACCTCTGAGCCATCTCTCCAGCCCCTCTATTTTTTTTTTTTTTTTTTTTAAAGATTTATTTATTATGTACACAGCATGTATGACTGCAGGCCAGAAGAGGGCGCCAGTTCTCATTACAGATGGTTGTGAGCCACCATGTGGTTGCTGGGAATTGAACTCAGGACCTCTGCAAGAGCAGCCAGTGCTCTTAACCTCTGAGCCATCTCTCCAGCCCCTCTATTTTTTAAAAAAATTAATTAATTTATTTATTTTTGACAGGGTTTCGCTGTGTAGCTTTACGCCTTTCCTGGAACTCACTTGGTAGCCCAGGCTGGCCTCAAACTCACAGATATCCACCAGCCTCTGCCTCCCGAGTGCTGGGATTAAAGGCGTGCACCACCACCACCACCACCACCACCACCACCACCACCACCACCACCCTCCCGGCATTTTTTGTTGGTTTTTTGAGACAGGGTTTCTCTGTGTAGATTTGGTACCTGTTCTAGATCTCGCTCTGAAGACCAGGCTGGCCTTGAACTCACAGAGATCTGCCTGGCTCTGCCTCCCAAGTGCTGGGATTGAAGGTGAGCACCACCGCCGCCTGGCCAAAAAAGAAACTTTTATATGTATGTATTTGTGTAAGTGTTTGCCATGTGTGTGGGTACCCATGGGTGCCAGAAGAGACACCTTTTGAGGTGGAGTTACAGATGGTTGTGATCCATCCAGTGTGAGTGCTGAGAACTAAACTCAGATCTTCTGAAAGAGCAATATACTCTCTAACTGATAAACCATCTCTCCTGCCCCATAATATTAAATTTTTCAAAAGCAATCTATAGCCTACATGTTTTATCACATGGAAATGTTTGATCCTCTGGAGTTTATTCTTCTATATGTTATTAATATGCGAGCCATCTTCTGTTTTTTTCCAGATGGTTATTGGTTGATGTCCAGTATTTATAAATCTTTTTCTTTTTCTTTGGTTTTTTTTTTTTTTTTTTTTTTTTTTTTTTTTTTGGGTTTTTCGAGACAGGGTTTCTCTGTGTAGCTTTTCGCCTTTCCTGGAACTCGCTTGGTAGACCAGGCTGGCCTCGAACTCACAGAGATTCGCCTGGCTCTGCCTCCCAAGTGCTGGGATTAAAGGCGTGCATCACCATCGCCCGGCTGATGTCCAGTATTTAATATAAGAAACTTTTACACTAGGTAGTGGAGGCACATGCCTTTAATCTCAGAACTGAGGAGACACAGAGGCAGATGGATCTCTGAGTTCAAGGCCAGCCTGGTCTGCAGAGCAAGTTCCAGGGCATCCAGGGATACACAGAGAAACCCTGTCTTAAACACTCCCCTTCTCCCCTCAGCAAAAAAAGAAAAATACTTTTACTAAGCCAAGTGTGGTGGCTTGCTTTTTAATCCTGCCATTCAGATGGCAGAGGCAGGTAGATCTGTGGGTTCCAGGCCAGCCAAGGTTACACAGACCCTGTGTAAAGTAAACGTACTTGGTTGTGTTCTTGCTGCTGGTGGGAAAGGCATTAGTCTGTGTAGACACTTAGGCAGTACCACAGTCTTTGGCATAATAGCAGTTTGGGCCGGGCGGTGGTGGCGCACGCCTTTAATCCCAGCACTCGGGAGGCAGAGCCAGGCGGATCTCTGTGAGTTCGAGGCCAGCCTGGGCTACCAAGTGAGTTCCAGGAGAGGCGCAAAGCTACACAGAGAAACCCTGTCTCGAAAAACCAAAAAAAAAAAAAAGAAATAGCAGTTTGGACTGTGTGGTGGAAGCAGGCAGATTGAATTCTGTCTTTGAACCTGTCCCTCTCTTGCTGGTTTCTCTTCTCGCCTGGCTCTGCTGTCACTGGTTATTCTGAGTTATGTCATAAAGCCAGCAGTGGTCTTGGTTTGTTTTTTCACTTATTTTGTGTGCCTGGGGGGTGGGAGCCATCCATGTGCTACATGTTTATTTACTTATTTCGGGAGGGGAGTGTGCATGTCACAGTGAGCATAGAGAGAGGGTTGGTCCTCTCCTTCCAACATGAGGGTTCTAGGACTTGAATCAGGTATCAGGCTTGTTGGCAAGCACCTTCACCCTTTGAGTGGCCTGGCTGGCCCTGAACTCTTTAATAGTTACAGCAGCAGCACTGTCTCTTCCTTTGACTCCTCTGGTGCTTTCCCTTTTCTTCTTTCTTTAACCCAGTGGGGGTTTTGTTGTTTTTGTTTTTGTTACTTCCTTTCCATTTATTGTATTTGGGGTGGGGTAGAGAGCACTACCAAACATAAAGGACAACTTGCAAGAGTTTGTTCTCTCCTTCACCATGTGGGTCCTGGGTGATTGAACTCAGGTCCTCAGGCTCCCTGAAAAGTGCCCTTACCCACTAAGGCACCTGGTGGCCTGGTTCTGTTTCTTTTGCAGTGCTCTTGTGACAGGGTCTCACTGTGTAGCACTTGCTGTCCTGGAACTTGTTTATATAGGCCAGGCTAGCCTCCAGCTCATAGAGATCCACCTGTCTCTACCTCCAAAGAATGCTGGGAGTAAAGATGTGGGCCACTAAACCCAGTCCAGTTTCTTATTTAAAGCTAAATAGAATAAAATATATCTGCACTAGAATTTTGGTAACATCCTGAGCCTTTAGTCCCAGCACTCAGGAGGCAGAGGTAGGTGGATCTCTGTGAGTTCAAGGTCAGCCTGTTCTATAGAACTGGTTCCAGGACAGCCAGGGCTACACAGAGAAAACCAGTCTTTTTTTATAAGGTTTATTTATTTTTAATGTATACAGTGTTCTGCCTGCATGTATGTCTACACGCCAGAAGAGGGCACCAGATCTCGTTACAGATGTCTGTGAGCCACCATGTGGTTGCTGGGAATTGAATTTAGGACCTCTGGAAGAGCAGCTAGTGCTCTTAATCTCTGAGCCATCTCTCCAGCCCCAGAAAAGCAGTCTTAAAAAAGAAAAGAAAAAAAAAAAAATGTGTTACAAAACTCAGGCTCTCAGCATGTGGCTTACCAGGTTCTTCTTCTTTTTACCCATCCATATTGCTTTCCTCATGTGGACTTCACCTTCCTGAATGTTCTGCCATTGCTAGTCAGCTTTAATCATGCTTTTCCAGTTGCTGCATGGGTGTGTACAGGTGTGTGTGAGACTTTCAAAAGGGCAGAGATTGGGGCTGCTTATTCTCTGGTTGGTACAAGTTCCACCTGGGCACAAATGGGAGGGATAGGGTTCTTCCTGCCTTCCCACACAGCCACCCTTTGTGAATGAAAGGGTTGGTAACGGCGCCCAGTGGGGTGCCCTCCACCTACCATTCAGCCCACCTGTCACACACTAACCCCCAGAGGCTACCAGTCAACGTGTGGTCTTCCTGGCCAGCTTTCAGCATTTCTACTTTCACTGACACTGAAGTGAAGTCATAGCAGATGGTACCTGATGCACAGAGTTCTGCAACCCCATGTCACCAGCCTCAGATTCCTCATGGGAGTGGTTCCTTCCCGGCCAGTGTGAGGGGGGACAGCGGACAGTGAGGGGATGGATTCAAAGGCTACCTCCATGGAGTGTCAGCAGCCTGTGGAGCCGGAATGCTGAGAGGAAGAGTATACCTGTGTGCATTACTGCTAGGGCCTCTGGCTTTCTTCTTCCATTGACAGAGGTTTAAAATGTGTTTATGTGCTCAGTTGCCATCAGAAGTTCCCTTGAAGCTGGAGTTACAAGGTGGTTGAGAGCCAGCCAATGTGGCTGCTAGGAAACAGGGCCAATGCAAATGCAGCAAACACTTAACCACAGAACCACCTCTCCAGCCCCTATTTACATAGTTTTTGTTGTTGTTGTTGTTGTTTGTTTGAACTTTTTCTCCTGAAAGGCTTGCTGTTTTGTTTGCCCTCTACAGAGTGGACTTGAACTTGTAATCCACATGCCTCAGCCTCCCAAGAGCTGGGGTTACTGGCAATGCAGTGCCCAGCTAAACTCTCCATCTTTATCTGACAAAAGAAATCATTTCATTCCATATCCAGCTGTCAGTCTAGCCTGCAACACCAATAAAACCTAAATTATTCTTTTCTCTTTTTTTTTCCCCAAGACAGGGTTTCTCTGTGTAGTCTTGGTGCCTGTCCTGGATCTCACTCTGTAGACCAGGCTGGCCTGGAACTCAGAGAGATCCCCCTGGCTCTGCCTCCGAGTGCTGGGATTAAAAGCATGCGCCACCACACCTGGCCTATCTTTTTTTTTTTTTTAGGCAGGATTTCTTTATGTAGCCTTGGCTGTCCTGGAACCCACTATGTAGGCCAGGCTAGCCTTGAAGTCAGAGATCCACCTGCCTCTTTCTCCCAAGTGCTGGGATTAAAGGTGTGTGCCACCACCGCCTAGCTCCAAATTATTCTTTTTTGTTTGTTTGTTTGTTTTTGTTTTGTTTTTCGAGACAGGGTTTCTCTGTGTAGCTTTGGAGCCTGTCCTGGAACTCACTCTGTAGCCCAGGCTGGCCTCAAACTCACAGAGATCCACCTGCCTCTGCCTCCCGAGTGCTGGGATTAAAGGCATGTGCCACCACCTCCCGGCTCCCAAATCATTCTTAATTTTCTTGTTATAGTATGTCTCTGTGCGGGCGTAAAGTTGGAGGAGTTGTGCGTGTGCCACAGCTTGTATATGGAGCTCAGAGGACAACTTTGGAGCTGGGTCTTTCCATCCAACTTTATGTAGGTTCAGGGGAGTGAAATCAGGTTGCCAGGTTTGTGCCCCAAGTGCCTTTACACTGAACCATCTTGCCAGTCCAGACCTAGAGTTACTGTATACTACACAGTGAGTATGAAAACATCCTGGGCTCCATAGCACCCTGTCTCAAAAACAAACCAAAAAACAAAGAAATAGTCCTTATGAAAATCAGGTGGACCCATACTAATTAGTCTCCCTTTTTTCCCTCTGTAGGTAACACTTCCCCAGATCAAAAGGAGCCAACACCCTTTATTATTGAGTGGATCCCGGACATCCTCCCACAATCCAAGATTGGTGAGCTTCGAATCAAGTTTGAGTATGGTCACCACCGGAATGGACACGTGGCTGACTACCAAGACCCAAGGCCACCCCTGGACCAGCCTTTGGAGCTGGCCCCTCTGACCACTATCACTTTCCCTTGAGGCAAATCGAGTTATTTTGCGGAGTTTGCACATCCCCACCCCTGACCACTGTAAATTCTAGTAGCACTTAATATGGCCCCTGTTAATAAACTGCACTTAGCTAAGGTGCAGTTGCTCAGAGCATCCATGTGGGTTCTGTAGAAGAAACTCTTGTACATAGCCTTGTTGGCACTGCTGTGTACAGTCTTATTATAAACTAGGCACTTATTTCTAACCAAGTCCAGGTCATTGGCATTCTCATGGAGTCATCTGCAACTCGACGACTTTCTGTAATTCTCTAAGAAGTTGGCAGCTCTGGAACTTAGCCAACAGTATGAAAACGATAACGATGCCCTGGGCAGAGCAGAATGCAAAGGATCTGCCTGAGAGCTCTAATACTCTATCCTGATAGCAAATAAAATAGTGTCACTAGTTTTTTCAAATGGTACCATTGCTGTCATGATTTTACAATTAGAAACCTTCGGGTGAATTTACTTTGTAGTCAAACAGGGAAAAGTGGCCAGTGCCAAGAGATCAGCGACACTTAATTGCTTTTTTTTTTCTTCAAATTTTGAGCAGCTGAGCACTCAGATGTAGGCCATTCTCTGTGATTTTGAGGCCCACCTGATCTACATAGTGAGTCCCAGTACAGCCAGGGCTACATAGTGAGAACCTGTTTCCAAAAGCCAAAAAAGAGCAGCTGCTAAAATTCAAAACCTAGTTCTGGGTTCACTCATCACAGAATGGAAATGGTGGAGGAAGTGGGAACTTCCCTTCTAGAAGAGGAGGAAATATTTCCTACACACCTGCCCGCACTTGTGTTTACACCTTAGATGTTCCAGTTCGTCTCCTTGAGTCTTCATCTTTCTCTGGAGTCCTGCAAAGTTAAACAGCCGCACTGAAGCTACAGATGTGGCTCTACACAAAATTATGTTTAGTTTACTTCTGTGTATACTTTCTACTTGAAAGACCATATTGGTTTGATATGAAAGGTTTTTTTCCTCTCATGTTTTGCCTGTGTGTATGAGCACCACGTGGGTGCTTAGTGCCCTGGGTAATCAGAAGAGGTTGTTAAATCACCTGCAAAGCCGGGCAGTGGTGGTGCACGCCTTTAATCCCAGCACTCTGGAGGCAGAGCCAGGCGGATCTCTGTGAGTTCGAGGCCAGCCTGGGCTACCAAGTGAGTGCCAGGAAAGTCACAAAGCTACACAGAGAAACCCTGTCTCAAAAAAAAAAAAAAAAAAAATAAGCCGGGCGGTGGTGGCGCACGCCTTTAATCCCAGCACTCGGGAGGCAGAGCCAGGCGGATCTCTGTGAGTTCGAGGCCAGCCTGGGCTACCAAGTGAGTTCCAGGAGAGGCGCAAAGCTACACAGAGAAACCCTGTCTCGAAAAAACCAAAAAAAATAAAATAACCACTTGCAACTGGAATTAAACATCGTCAGGAGCCATCACGTAGGTGCTGAGAACCCGGATCCTCGGAAGGGCAGCCAGTACTAAACTGCTGAATCATGCCTCCAGCCCCTCCATAGGAATGTATTACAATCATTGTCTTTGAACAGTTGGAAGCCAAAAGTAGACCTGATAGCTCTCTTCCATCTATAAATGACAAACCCAGCTCCAACTGGTTTAGGAAGAAAAAGAAAAAAATCAGAACTGTTTATATGGAGATAAGGCTGGACAAGCACCTTGAGAATGTGGGGTGTGGCCAGGCCTTAGAAGCCCTGAGGCCAAATTTGTCAGGCTGTCTCCACAATTAATTTGGGGAAGGCCTATGGCTCTAGTATTACAGCTTCCATAGTAAAGCTTGCTGCACAGTACAGTAGCTTTGCTATGTCAAACTTCGGTGTTTATAGGACTCACTCAGGGATCTTAGTTGAAATGCATATTCTGCCCAGTCATAATGGTGCACACCTTCGAGGGCAACCTAGTCTACCAGTACCAGGCCAGCTGAGGTGAGAGCCTGCCTCAAAAAGCGAACGTTTATCTGAATTCTAAGCTCCAGGGTAAAGGTCCAAGACCCGCATTTCTAGGAGGCACCCCGACATTGCATGAAGTGCTATGCAGAAGACTACACTTCAAAAGACAGGGTGCTGACCTGCCCCCTGCCTTCCCCACTCCGACTTGGAGGTGGGAGGTCCATAAGCTATGGCTGCAGCCTGGCCTGCGCTCCTGTGAGCGACTCTACAAATGGACTAGTTCGAGAGAGGGAAAAAAAAAAAAAAAAATCAACGCTCTGAGTCCCAATTTCTCGTCTGCATAGAGAAACAGTATCATGGGGAACCGCTCGTATTGCCAGAGGTGGTACTTTCTGTTCCTTCCCGAGACACGTTTTCAGTAGAAGACAAAGTACACAGTCTCCTATCTTCATGTTTCCTGGTCCTCAAACTTCTCATGACTCGGAGCGCGACGCTGCCAAGCTGTTCAGGAGACCAAGTAAATCAGGGCATGAAGCCACGCTTCCGCCCACACTGGCCCAGGGGAAGCTCGGCGCCGCACGCGCTCCTCCGGCCCCGCGGGATGACGCCACCGCGCTGCCGACACGCATCGCCCCCGGCCACACCGGCGCGGTCCTGCCGCCAGGCGGCGCCGCAACTTAATCACGCGCCTCCTTGTGCGCAGCCGCGCTGGCGCTCCGGACACGTCACCACCTTCGCGTCCTTTCTGGAGAGCGCGCGAAGGGGGGGGGGCGCAGCGGGTGGTGACGTCACCGGGGTTCCCCGCGAAGCTCGTGCGGGCGGGGCTGGGGACGTGGCGCCCAGGACAGCGGAGCTGGAGGGGAGGAGACGAATGGGGAGGGGGGGATGGGTAAGGGAGGTGGGCATGAGGGAGTGGAGAGGACCGTGGGGGGAGGGGGGGCGTGTAGAGGGGTAAAAGAGGAGAGAGAGGGGGCCGAGGAGAGGGGCGCGAGACGGGAAGGGAGAGGTGAGAAGAGAAAGTGGGGGTAGGGGAGAGTGGGGGAAGGAAGGAAGCGTGGAGGCGAGGGGGAGGACGGGAGAGTTGGGGGAGGGGAGAAAAGGCTGGGGGGGAGAGGGTTGAAGGGAAGAGGGTGAGAAGCGGGGTGGAAGTGGAGGGTCTGAGAACGGGAGCGGGGAGAATGGGAGGGTACTTAGAGGTCCTGTTCCCCCCTCTTACAACGCAGGCGCAGTCCTGATGAGGCCCCCCAAGGTGGGTCTGTGGCTCCTTCCTGCCGTGGACTTTCCGGCAGTCAGCCACATCCGGCTTCCTTTAACCGGAGGACCGCCTCGGGACCACAGCGTGGTTTAGGTTCTGGCTATCCGGTACCAGTGGCCCTGAGCAGGGCGATGGGCACCCGAGATTTGGCTTTGCGTCAGTCCGCTTGGTAGTCTAGTGTTTTCTGTTTCTAAGGGCAGTCATTCCCCAACCTTAACCGAACGAAGGCTTTGTGTTCCTGTGCCCTGGCAGTTAGCAGAAGCTTCTCCCATTCCTGTAAGCCTCAAGTCCTCCGGTTGACAAAGAGGTTGTTAGAACGTGGGACCTGCTCAGAACTCAGAAGTGGGTACCAGAGTTTACCCTAACACCAGCCTAAGTCCTTGTCCCTGGGGGCACAGCACACACAGTGGCCTTGAGACGCCCTTCCTGCCCCCCCCCCCCCCAGAGTGCCCACCTTCTACAACAGTGCCAAGGCGTTGGTGAGAAGATGGCCTGTCCCCCGGAGGCAAGCCAGCCTGGGTAGCTTGAGCAAGGCCTGGCAGGCAGGGTCACACAGGACTGTCTCCTGGAACATTAAGATGTAAGGCAACTTTCCCCCCACAATCCCTGACTTTCAGAAAGTCAGGAGGTAAGGTCTGGGAGCCATGCTCTTGGCTGAGAACAGTACATTCCCTCTCCTCCCAGCAGGAGCATTGAGCTGTGGTCTTGGAGACTGCTCCAGCTCTATTGGTGGGTTTTCTCTAGGGCGAGTCCCCAGGACCTCCTGGGGGTGTGAGTTAGCTGTGACCTGAACTCCATGTGCTCTCGTGGCCACTCCTGTCATGTTTATTAGTACAAGGCCATTTTGGGTTTCAGATGAAAGACAGTATTCGAGGTTAAAAGAAAAACCGGAGGGAAGCAGCCCTCCCGCCTGTGGCCTGCCGCAGGGTGAGCTAGTGGAAGGGCCCCTGTGTCTCCTTCAAACCCACAGTGCTTTCTGAGAGGGGCTCTGCTCCGTGCTCTGAGAACAGCAGCCTGTGCGTAGATCTTACTGGAGATAAAACTACCGGCATAAGGTCGAGTTGACAGTTTCCCCCAGGTGTCTGGTTTTTGAGGCAGCGTCTCACTGTATAGCCCAAGCTAACCTCAAACGCAGGGTCCTGCCTGAGCCGTCCTAGCGCTGGGATTGCAGGTACGCGCTGTCCTGACTTCCCCTTCATGGCGAACTTGGGAGATGGGGGTGGGGCTGGGGCGCAGAGAAAAATCCCAGGCAGACAGTTGAAGGGCTGTCTGTTTTGTAGTGGTTCTTAGGAGCCCAAGCTTTATGCCAGAGGCTTCTGTTTCATGCTCAGAGGCCTTCTGAGCCTGGTTGATAGAACCTGTGTAGATGGAAGGAGTCCTTTCCTTCTGCCTTTCCTGGAAAAGCAGCGGTTCCTGTCCTGAGTCAGCTGTCATGAGACCTACAGGCACAGGCCCTCAGCAACCGACTGTCGAGGGTTTGAGCATCTGTATGTACCTAAGACTATTCATTTGTGTCAGAAACTGCCTCAATTCTGTGAACTTGCCAAATAGACACTTTCCTCACTTTGGACCAGCATGGAAGTATCAGGGCCACATCTGGGCCCTTCAAATCAGACTGGCTGAGGAGCTGTAGGAAAGGGCAGAGGAGAAACAAAAAGCCTCCCGGGGCAAGCGAAGCAGTGTCGTCCGTCAGCCTCTTGCAGACACTTTAAGGAAAGTGATAGCAGTACAAGGCAGAGAGTAGGAAATTCTAGATGGAGGCACAGGCTGGCTCCTCTGGGTCAGGGAGGGGAGCGGCGGGGGGGAGGAGTTGCAGATGGACACAGTATCCGGAGGTGGAAAGGGACTGTTACCACCACCCTGGGAAAGCTGCCACTGGAACTGATACAGACCTGTGGTCATCCGAGCTCTCAGCTGCTAAGTGCGTGGAAAGACGTGGCTGTAGTGGGAGAGGGAAGTGGTCGTCCCCAGAGCCGGAGGAAACGGCCTCATTGAGTCATGTGTGCGACCGTTACTGACTGTCGGGCATTGGGGTGGGCGTTGACTGGAGCTCTGTTCCCAAAATGGTCTGTCCCTGTGAGGAGAGAGCCAGAAGAGAACATGAGAATGAGATGCACCGTCACACAGTCAGACGGTGTGGGGAGCAGGAGGAAGTGTGGAGCCCTTCCCTCTCCATTGTTAAAGCAGGATGTGGGCCTTCTTGGTGGTGGGCAGGACTACACCAAAGGACAGCACAGGGGAGGGAAGCCCTCAGTCTCTTGTCCAGGTAGCTGTGATTGGAGAGATGTTTGATTCTACCTACTTCCCAGCCACCGTGGTTTCAACTCAAGCTGAGTACGACAGCTCATGGCTGATCTCAGTGCTCTGGAGGCTGGGGCAGGAGGACCACTGAGTTTGAGGTCAGCTTTAGCAGCAGAGTAGAGGACAAAGGATGTAGCTCAGTTGGTAAGAGTGCTTGCTTAGCATGCACAGAACCCTGCTTTAGACTCCCAGCACCCCATAAACTGTATGTACCCGGTGGCACACACCTATAATCCCCATACTGAGAAGGTAGAAGCAGAAGGATCAGAAGTTCAAGGACATCCTCAGCATCATAATTATCTCAAGGCTAGCTTAAAGCAGATTCATCGATTTTTATAACCCTGTTCCTTTGAAATATGAATCTTCTAGCCAGCAGGGAACCTCTGCCGTTCTCTGCAATGCTGGAGAATGGACCCAGGGCCTTGTGCATTCTCTTTTCTCTGGACATGCTCTACCACTCAGCTACCACCGCAGCCTAAGCTCCTGGTTCTGCAGCTCAGGATGGTGGGCATGATGACCCAGCCACAATACCTTGCAGTTTTTCAAAGGTACTCTGCATACCTGACTGCAGTGTCAGGGAATCAGGGGCGTAAACATCCCCTGTACCTTAGGGTAGCCCCACAAGCAGCAGGACGGAGGGAGGGGTGCTGAGCACACACTTGGCTCTTGTTTTACATGAATTTTGTGTGAGTAAATATAGCAGTAAAGAAGCCCCGTGGCCTTGGGGAGGTGGGGAGCTGACCGTGTTGTCTCTAGAGATAAATTTATAAGGATGACTCACTGAGGGAAAAAGAAGCCAAGATCTCCAACCGGAGCACATTCCCTGAAAGCTAGGTGTGTTGACAGGAAAGTGGAATTTCACCCTGTGTGCAAACACAATTCTGTGAAGATGAGTGTTACTTTGTGGGCTGTGGCAGAAGTGAGCAAGAGAAGAGCTAAAGCATGCTCTCAGCTATTGTTCTGCCCAGGGTGTGGGACTGGAGACATGGAAGGGAGAGGTCATCATTGAGACTGTGCCCCTGGGGCCCAGGGAGCCCATTTAGTTCCTTGACCAGCTCTCAGCAGCCTGTGCCTAGAAGGCCATCTCACCTTACCTACTTCTTCTGATGCTTATGTCTGTTTTTTCCAGAAATGAACACCAGTGCCATTCCACAGACATTTTGTCATCTGTACAATGTCAAGGAAGTAAAGGTTTGTGGACAAAGCAGGAAAGATCAAATATGGGATAATGTAGATCCTAGTGACAACAGATCCTGTGACAAAGCCGAGAGGCACCCTACTCAGCATCAGGGTCTACACTGGTAGGACCTCTGAATGTGGTCCCAGATGCTCTTTTTGAAGCTGAGGGGGTAGGGGATGAGCACGGGACTGCACAACACGTGGAAGACTGTCTGCTGAACTCTGCCTAGTAATTTACATTGCTGGTATCACCTACCTACCTGAAGATGGGAGGAAATACACTGGCCTCCTATCAGAAGGGGAGCTGGAAGATGGGATCCTCGCTGACTCTACCTGTGCTCTTCCTCTGCCTTCTAGCTCTTCTACCGTGAAGTTCTGGCTTCCTCTCATACACAGGACTTGAACTTGTCTCTCTTGGTCCTTCAGGTGCGGACATTGTGTAAAGAGAGGATGCTGGGCCCTTCCCTTGCTGGCCGCTTTAATAAGTTAGTTGATGATATCTACTACGTAAACAGGATTCTCCCTGCTTCCTTCCTCTGCACAGAGAACTCCCTGGGAATCACACAAGAAGAGGTGTAGGAAACTGGGAAGTGTGGGGTCTGTCCCCAACCACGGTAACATGTAGTCTGAGGACCAGAGCACATCTGCAGGGTAACCAATGCTTTAAACACATGTCTGGACAGCACTCATGAGAGACCACCAAAGCGGCCATGCTTGCCTAAACTGGCAGCTGTCAGTAACACACCACTGAACTGATGACTCCCATGATCCACTTCTTCCCACTTCTCATTAGCACTACTTTAATTCAGCAGCTGCATTTTTTTTTTTCTGGACTCTTGCTTAGCTGGTCTTCCTGTACACACTCTTCCCTTACCATAACTGTCTATTCTGTAAATTTGGGGTGTTAGGGCTTGAACACATGGCCTTGAGTCCCTAAGACAAACATTCCACTAATGAGATGCTTGTTTCAAGTTCATGTTGTTCCCTTGCTTAAACCCCTTAAATCCTGAGTGGGTCTGGGGCATAGTTTAAGTACTTTCCTAGCATGCATGAAGCCCTGGATCTCACCCCCAGCACTCAGGAGCTGGAGGCAGGAGGATGGCTCCAGGTTTTTATTAAAAAACCTATTAGAAATTCAAGCAACATCTGACACCCAACATAGGGCACGAATTCACGAAAAAAGCCACAGGCTCAGGCCAAAGCTACACGCGCGGCCAGAATCTCCACCCTGCCTGGGCTGGACTCCCTAACCCACTGGGTAAGTTTTTGTTGCAGCCTCTCTGCAGCAAACTCCATAGGCTTTTGGGTCCCCAAAACCACAGGAGTTAGCCACTTTTCACACATTTTCCCTGTGAGATGGCTGGATCTTTCGCTTCTTTCCTCTCCTGGTGGGTTTTGGCTTTCCTTGAACCCCCTCCTCAGGCTGCTGCCACACTGAGTCATCACTGTCAGCAGGTTTTGGTGAGTCAATTCAGATTTTTTTTTTTTTTAAAGATTTTATTTATCATGTATACAGTGAATGTTCAGCCTGCAGGACAGAAGAGGGCACCATATCTCATTATAGATGGTTGTGAGCCACCATGTGGTTGCTGGGAATTGAACTCAGGACCTCTGGAAGAACAGCCAGTGCTCTTAACCTCTGAGCCATCTCTCCAGTCCCCCAATTCAGATTTCTTAAAGGGAAGAATTAGTTGAAGTTTTTTTCCCCACATGAAAAAATGAGAAACATTTTTACAATCGAAGGCATTTTATCTCTATTTGACTATACATTAAATGGTCTGAAAATGGAACAATTAAATGAGAGGATAATTAATGGAATAGATATAATGTCAATTATAAATATTATTTGTTTGATCATTTTTGTTTTATCATTTAAAAAGTTGGTTAATATGAGTATCAAGCTAAAAGTTTTAGAAAAACTTGTTAAAACAGATCATAGAGATGTTTAGACCCAGACAGAAGAATTTAAAGGAGAACCAATCTTTTTTTTTTTTTTTTTTTTTTTTTTTTTTTGGTTTTTCGAGACAGGGTTTCTCTGTGTAGCTTTGCGCCTTTCCTGGAACTCGCTTTGGAGACCAGGCTGGCCTCGAACTCACAGAGATCCGCCTGGCTCTGCCTCCCGAGTGCTAGGATTAAAGGCGTGCGCCACCACCGCCCGGCTAGGAGAACCAATCTTAACATTGCATTATAAGGTTACAGAGAAACAGCTTAAGGCTTTCAAACAGCCAACCTTAATCTATCCAGTAACCTTATAAGAACTACCTAGTGATAGATATCCTCAAGGCTGTATAAGAGCTGACTGGATTCCTGTGCAAATATTAGATTTGAGGAGATTCAAAGAAGCAGTAGTCCCAATATGACATCCACTCATCTTTTGTGAAGCAGATGTTAAAGTCGTGGTCAACTTTTACTAGAATTATCCCTCCAGACTGGAGAGATTTGGTTACAGCAGTCTTAGAGGCTGGTCCCTAATTACAATGGAGGACCTGGTGGAAGGATGAAGCTAAGACCATTGAACAACAGAGTAGGGCTAGATGTCTTGAAATCTCCCAAGATCAACTTCTTGGAGAAGGTGATTATGCTGATTGATACACAAAGAGAATCTTTATATAATGACCACACCCTAGCTTTATGCCACATGACAGCCTTGAATGGTTGGGACAGAATTGAAGAAGTAAGAAAGAAAATTTAGTCATTTACAAAAGTTATACAGGGCCCAAAAGAAACCTTCACTGATTTCTTACAAAGACTGACTTCAGCAGTAAATAGAATGATACCAAATTCAGAATCTAGACAGATAATAATTGAATCTCTGGCTTTTGAAAATGCTAATGCACAATCCAAAAGGATAATTAGGCCATTAAAGGCAAGATATCAGCACACTTGGAAGAATGTATCTGAGATACAGTAAATATGGAATCTCATGATCATGATGATGCTTGGATAAGAGAGGTGATTTCTAGAGGTTTAAAGAAAAATAGTAATGTCAAATGTTTCAATTGCAGTAAACAAGGTCACCCCAAAAGGGTCTGTAAACAGGACATTCTTTAAAACAATGTTTTTTCATGGAATAATTCCAACCGAACACCCCTCCCTTCTGGATTATGCAGAAGGTGTGGCAAAAGCAGACATTGGACTAACAAATGTAGATCAACAAGGGACAAACAAGGTGATCCTTTACCTTTGCCATGGAGAAATGCTCAGAGGGGCCTCTCGAAGGCCCCCATGTCAAATTCAATCCTTTCCTGTCACCATGGAAGAAACTCCTTCCCGGAGCTATTAAAGAACCTAATGCCTATTGTAAAAAAAACATACTGGTCTGGATGATAGAACAGCTTTAGAAAATAAAACAAAAATTTAAGGTGAAACCATAAATCAAAATTAATAAATATTAGAGTTGGAAACTCCCTAAAGTTAGGGTTGGGGAGGGTTTTGTTTCTGTCTTTTAGGAGAATGAAGGCTAAGGAATCTGAAGAACACTAGACAAATGAGACATCTTAAGAAAAAGGACGGCATCAGTGGCACACACCTTTAATCCCAGCACTCAGAGGCAGAGCCAGGCGGATCTATGCGAGTTTGAGGCCAGCCTGGTCTACAGAGCAAGATCCAGGACAGGCACCAAAACTACAGTGAAGAAACCCTGTCTCGAAAAACAAACAAAAAAAAACAACAACAAAAAGAAAAAAGAAAAAGAAAAGGACAAATCATCTAGAAAAAAAATGTCCCATGAAAAAGGTTTTCTGGGGCTGGAGAGATGGCTTAGGGGTTAAGAGCACTGACTCTTCTTCCAGAGGACCCGAGTTCAGTTCCCAGCACTCACACCTGTCTGTAACTCTAGTTTCAGGGGACCTTGACACCCATGGCAAAAACACAAATGCACATAAAAATAAAATAAAAATATATTTTAAAAAATTTTTAAAAAAAGAAAGAAAAAGGTTTTCTGCAGTGAACCATGACCAGGCCTAACAGTGACTCTGAAGTCTTCAAAAAGATGATGGGACTCCACAACGATGATTCCATCAGGACAAAGATAATGCCACTAAGCTGACAAACACCACCCAAAGATCAGCTTTGGACTACAAACTGCTCAGGACAATATCAAGATGGCTAGCTGAGATGATACAGCCTCACAGGCTACTCTAGCCAGGACTTGAGACAAGCCCTATGCTTTCGCATTATGCTGAGACTGGACAACAAATGGTACAGCTAATTCTCCCAGGACTTGACAATTAACCCAAAATTTTTCTTTTCAGGATATAGATAAGAGGTAGATTATTGAATCTGAAAAAAAAAAGATATAGAAATGATAGGATAAAAGGGTAGATTATTGAATCTATTCTGAAAAGAAAAAAGGGAGGATATGGATATGATAAGATAAAAAGGTAGATTATTGAATCTCCATTTAAAAAGCAACTACTAGCCGGGCGGTGGTGGCGCACGCCTTTAATCCCAGCACTCTGGAGGCAGAGCCAGGTGAATCTCTGTGAGTTTGAGGCCAGCCTGGACTACCAAGTGAGTTCCAGGAAAGGTGCAAAGCTACACAGAGAAACCCTGTCTCAAAAAAACAAAAAAAAAACAAAAAAAAAAAAAAAAAGGAAAGAAAAAGCAACTACTAGTTTTAAATATTTTACATTGGATTGGATTTTTGTATATTGTATACAAATTATGTATAGTAATACAAATTTGAGATTGATTTTGTTAGAAAATACTGTATGTTTATTTCTAATCTTGTTCAAGGTATTGTACCTATACAGTTTATTTAACAATTTAATGCAAATTGCTAGTCCTTAAAAGTTATTATTACCAACTAAATAGATATAAAGAAATGCAGGTTAGTAGTTAGTTACCTATTACAATCAAACTTGCAGTCAGGTTAGGTATGTTTTCAAGGTCAAACATATATTTTAGATAGACACGCCATCTACAAACACTTCAGAGATCTACAGAATATGGCATTTAAGATGTTTTAATAAAAGATTCTTTTTTTTTTTTTTTTTTTGGTTTTTCGAGACAGGGTTTCTCTGTGTAGCTTTGCGCCTTTCCTGGAACTCACTTGGTAGCCCAGGCTGGCCTCGAACTCACAGAGATCCGCCTGGCTCTGCCTCCCGAGTGCTGGGATTAAAGGCGTGCGCCACCACCGCCAGGCATTCTTTTTTTTTTTTTTTTTTTTTTTTTTTTTTAATGACTATGAGACCTGTCTGCTCTTAGCAGTACCAATCTACTTCAGAGAAGATAATGGGCACCAAAGAAACTCCATATGGAGTTTACTTTCTTTGTGGCAAAAGTTAGCCAGTGGGCAAGAAAGTGCCCTTGCCTCAGCTGCTGACAGTATGCTGTCCAAATGGATAAGCAGCACACAAAAGAAAGGACTGCTGAACCTTACAATACAAGGTAGGAAGGCCGTTTAGAAAATCCTGCTTCACAGATGAATCTGTCAGATAGTCTAGGCCTGTAGGCCAAAGATGGATGCCCCAACATTGCAGAGGAACCTTGGGTGACTGTCCAGGCAGCCAGCTGTTTCTGTCATTTCTCACATTTTTTGGAAGTCACCTGCTTGCACTTCCTGCTTTCTTAGGTAATATTTCCTTCAAGAGTGTCTGAGGGAGTTGAAGACTAGATAATTATAGTTTTCCTTGTTAACAAATTCAGAAAAGAAACTCACTAAAGAGGTGTAAAGTGTGTAAGTTTGAAAGACATCAAAATATATTATTCTGTTGGTAATACAAGTTAGGATAGAAAGTGAATTAGGTACATTTTGAACTCACCAAAAATAGGATAGATAACAGAATATTTTCTCTGAATTTGTCA